AAAAACGTGTTTTTGCCGATGCGCGACCTCTAAATTCTGTTCAAAAATTCTGAAAAAAATTCATGGAGTCCTTTTTTTACATAAGGAACTTAAGTCCGGGGTGAGGTTGCATTTTCAAACATCGAATTTTTCGTGGGACAGTCTAAGGGACGGTCCAGGCTATTGACCTACACTGGTAGAACTGAAGCGTACTTTTACGCCTTTCTTCAAGCGTAGTAGAACTACGCTCGGCTTCAAGCGTCACTGTTTAAAATTTTTGCTGATAATTCAGACTTTTTTGACTGAAGTAAATATGCAGAACATCCTACTGAAAATTCAGACTAAATCCTGATCTGAAATTTTCAGACTTACATAAGTCTTAACCTTTCAGGCAGGTCGTAGTCTCAAAAATTCAGACAAAATTGTCTCAATTATTAGATTTTTTTGCCTGAAAGTGGCGGCAGGACAGTGTTCCCATAACTCGGTGATATAATAATGTTTGCATCAGAACCTCAAAGGAGAGACGTACTCCAGGGGACCGACCATGTAAAAAATTGACTGTAGGGAAATGTCCCCGAAGCGGGACTCCTCCCTGCACTCATCTGGAGCTGGCCTGACGCACCCAAGGAAACGACGGCACGGAGCCAACCGCGAGAGGTAACTTCAAATGTCAATTGTTAAACTCGCGCGTTTGCTACCGATATAAATTTGGTATGGGAGCGTGTGTTTCGTCAAGCCAATAGAGTGATAGCTATTTCGGGTTGGAAATATTAAAAATTTAACAGAAAAAGGCGGTTTTATTAACAGCAAGCTCCTTTACCGACACTGGTGCCACCTAGCGGAGAGAAAAATACTTTCGTTTTGAATGAAGTCCCCGAAACGAAGTCGGATTAAATTGAATGTAAGACTGATTGTGTGTTAATCTAATGTTATGTTGGAAGAAAATTGTCCAATTTTCTCTTATGTTTGAACCTATTTCAGAAAGTAGTCTGAATCCGAAATTCAGACTCTTGAGGTCTGGAAAGTCTGATGCAAGTTCATCTGAATTTTGAGAATGAGTACAAATATTAAGACGCTTCGAGTCTGAACCAAGCTTTCAGACAAAGTGTCCACGAAGTAAGACAAAAACTCTAAACAAGACTGCTAACGCTAGTCTGACAAAATTGGTCTGAATTTTCAGAATTTTTTTAACAGTGGTAGTTCTCATTTCGCCCTCTCTCCCGCCTTTATGAAGGCATGGGAGAATTTCTTCTCTACGCTTGACTTCAAGCGTTAAGTCTTCAAGCGTAGTTGTATGCTTGAATGAAGCATACAACTACGCTTCAGTTTTACCAGTGTACTTCCGTAGGGGTAGGTTGGGGAAGAAAAGTACAAAACGCGTACTTTGCACTCACTGTTAAAAAAAATATGAAAATTCAAACTGATTTCGTCTTACTTTGTGGTCTGAATCGCAAATTCACAATATGGTACGAATATTAAGACCAATTGTCTAAAAAGTGTGACTTGAAGTCAGAAATTTGAATTCAGACTTGCAAGTCTGAATATTTAGAGCGATGGCTATCAAGTTTTGTTCATTGTCGTCCGAAAACAAAATTCATACTTGTGAAGTCGGAAAACGGGTGAAAAATTGCCGTCCACTTAGTACATTTTTCGGTTTCCTAAATTTTTTATCAATACCATTGTTGTATTTCAAATAATATTTACGCTTAGTGTCTTTAGAGCAAATAGAATGTTTCAGAGCTCCGAAATGGATACTTTTTTCTCCATCCGCCAGGTGGCGCTAGTGTCGCTTGGTTGATCTCTTGGAGCTAAAATTGCCTCTTGAAGCCGAAAGGGGGTGAACATTTTGTTAAAAACTTATTCCAAGTAATTGTCTGAGAGGGCAAGAGCGCACCAAAGCAAGATTGATGTTAATAAGAGCAATCTTAGCTAAATAATAGAGAATGAAACTTCTCTCTTACGCATGACCACGGGTCGACGCGTGGTTTGGCCGAGGCCGCTCTCCTAGTGGGCCTCGTGTGAGAGGGACGACGCAGAGCGAGCGCCTGGTGTCCCCTGGGCGGCGGCGCGGGGTAGCTTGCGCGAGACTAGGCTTCGGTATGAGAACAAAATCGTGCGCTGCTCCCAAGGCGGGAAACCCCGGCCTGCCGGTCGGCCGGCCGGTCTGACCGCGATTAACTCTCATACCTAGCCTCGCACGGGGGTTCCCGGGGGCGGGTTTCGCCCAGGGGACACCAATGCGTTCTGATTGGCTGCCGCTCCGCCGCTCTGCGTCCCTCTCACACGAGGCCCACTACGCTCTCCCGGGAGTTTTATCAGACACCTCAGGCCACTGCAGGACACCTGCGAGATACCAACTGCAATTGTATAACTAATTTTTGACTCGAGTTCTTCTGCTGATCGGCTGATGAAACGGTTGGAAATAGCCGATAAGTGCTCCACTCTTATGAGTAGTAATTTTTAGTGAGGTTGTTTCTGTTTTTCGTAAAACTGAGTCTGATAAGTTAGACCGATTGGTATCATTTTTCATACAACATGTTGATCTGAAAATTCAGACTAACGTCGTCTGAATAAGACCTCAAAGTATGAAAGTTTTGGTATGAAAATTCAGCATGAGGATTCAACTGTTCTGCTCTCGTGAACTTGTAATACAATGCCTTCCTAATGACATGGATCACTGTTCATTGATTATAGTTCCCCACAGTACGTACAACATGCCAAAATGTATGTGATTTCGGAATTCCTCGAAAAGGGTAAGAAAAGTACACCACCGGGAAAGAAAAGTATACAACGAAAAGAATTGCGATTTCGAACCAGGAGACCACCAATCTTGGCTCAATACAGGTTTAACTCGGTTTAACCTTAAAGTAGAGAGCTTTCACTTGCCATAAGTTCAAGTTTCGTCAAAATCGGTCAATGGGTTTTGATTCTACATGGACTCATCACAGAAGGTCCAAGAAGCCTTTTCTCAGAGATAAGTGGGTACAGCATTTTTGTACTTTTCTTCCCCTTTTCACGTAAATGCCCAATAACTTGTATATTTCGAGTCTAATTCTAATACTTGTGTTGACATTTTTTGCTTGTCTCGCCTAATCAAATCTATTTCTGTGATCAATTCAATTTTCATCCCGCTTTTAGTTTCTTAGAGGGTGTTCTTTTCTTCCCTAATGCCTGTACTTTTCTTCCCCATTTCATTTTTACACTTATAAAAAATTGGGTTGAAACCTAAAAGCGTCGAACGGCACTGTTTTTCAAAGATGATGGTCTAAGCTATAAGGTGGTACCTTACATTGGACTGTCGGTTGATTCTGCTGGAAGCTGTACTTCAAAGTACAAACATAAAAAAAAAATTCCAATGCTAACGCATTGCACGGTGTTTCGGTTGTGGAAATCAATTTGAAGCCTGTCGTCTAAACGTTAATTACGTTAATTTAACCGTTATTTGCGTAACTTTGAATCGTACCGGTACTTTTACATCCTTAAACCTGGTTCAGTTAACACAATGACCATCTCAGTCCATCTCGCGATCTCGCGATTTACAGTGCTCATGTTCGTCAAACGAAAGTCATCCGCGTTCCGAAACCACCCCTGCCGAGTTTATAAAGTTTGTCAAACCAACCGTCGTGCTGGTTACAGAATTGAGGAAAACATCACAAGAGAACCACAACCTTTAAAAGCAAGCCAAACAATCCAACCTCAGCAACAATGGAGGGGCAGTTTCAATGCGCGACTACTCGTTTTTTCAGCCTCGCGATTTTCGAAAGGGCGCAAACGCCGAGAAAATTGTTGCCAACCCCCGAAAATTAATTTATTGCGTCTTTTCTGCCACGAACTTTTTACTGACAGGCTTCAAAGATGTTCCAATGTCGGGACACCGTGCAATGCGCTAGCATTGGCATTTTCGAATTTCACGGCGTTTTGATTTTTTTTTATCAGCGACTTTAAATTTTGACAGTTGGTACGATGGCACCGTGTCGTTGCCATGGAGACTTTTTTTTCATGTTTTTAGAACACAGATGATTTCTTGTCACTTTGATGAGGCAGGAGGTTCAGTTATGAGGAGTGGCACATTTTCTCTTTGAAACGTTTCTGGAAAATGTGAACGGATAAGGGTGCTTGATTGTTGCAAATTTATGTTTTAGTCGTTTACGTTAAATTCTCACGATAAATTTTCGAAATTTTCAGGAATTTTTATTTGATTATGATAACGAGTTATTTGGCGGGAACCATTTTTCGATTTGCGTCGGCGGAAGGTAAAGAATCTGAGCCGTCAAAAACAATAGGGGTCCTCCTTCGTCGGAACCCCTAAAAAGAGATTTTCATGGTTATTTTTAATGTTTTTTTTCAAACGTGCAGTTTGATTCGAAATATTATATGTAGAACTGGGCTAAATTTATTTTTTGTCAGCGGGATGACCAATCTTTCTAAAACCACTAACGTTACGGTTCAGTATAGTTTCAGTTCGGAGATATAACGGGTGTTCTCTTCTTACCCGAGCCTCGAGTGTACTTTTCTTACCCAACCTACCCCTAACACAGGCTTTCCATAATCCGCCCAAAACTCCTAATCTGGCAACGGTTTTTTCCCCTTGCCGGTGTAGTTCTAAAAGTTTTAAAAGTTACATAAAACCCATAAAACGGGACTAGGTAGAGCCTTTTCGAAATCGGGAGACGGCAAGGGTCGTGGCAGGAGTAACAATGGCATCCCAGAGACCAAAATTGGCTCAGGAACAGAAGTTCTATTCTTAAATTTGTTACTCTAGGCATTGTCTTTCTGTTCACAAGTATTGGCGCGTTTGTGCAGTTGCAAGCTGTGTACAAATTTACACATAATTTAAGTACAATCTCGGCACAGCATTTCTTGCAGAAAATTGGGAGTGCACAATCACGGAATCACCCAGCGGAATCACAAGTGCCTCTTTTACAGATATGGCCGTATCGCGCTGATACGACTGAGAATTTCGCCTTCTTGGAACTCATCTGACGTCAGGAGGAACTTCAACGTCATCTCACACTTTAGGTCGGTTCGTTGGTCGGAAAGCCCTCACAAGCGCGTGGATTCTCGGCACCGCACAGCACGGGGCGTCTGCTCTTGACTCATTCAACGAAAGATGGCTAAAGTGGCGTGGTTGCTGGCTGCGGTGGTGTTGGTCGGGGTGGCTGTGGGTCAGGCTGCCCACCTGTCGGCCAGCGGAAAGGTTAGTCCCCCTTACCAAACCGAAATCATCCGAAACTGGCCGAGGACACATCCAAAGCTGTCCGGCTGGCCCAGGACATCCGGAAAATTTCGGATCGTCCGATCGGACCCATTTCGGAGCCTTCCCCGTTTTATAAGCAGGGATCCTTAACTTACCTCATAAAGGCATCATAACGTTATCGTAAGAGTTAAAGTTATTAACCTTAACTTCAGACATCTTTTCAAAAAGGGTAAGTTATTTTTTTGTGTTTTGAATTTGTGAAGAGATACTTTTGGAAGTACTTCCAAAAGTCCGTACCCTTAACCTTTAGCGAACATTGTCTTATGTTACGTTATGAAAGCAGTGTTAGTTAAACGTTAAGTTAAGTTAAGGATCTCTGTTTATAAGGGCCGGTCTCACGAAAAGCATCTATATTTAATAATGATGAGTACCTTTCCCCATACTCGCCAAACCTTACAAATTATTTTGAGATTACCTATGTAAGTTGCAAACGTCTCTGCTTGTCCTGAAACATTGGATGTAATACTGCTAGTCAACGACTCAAACTCTGTCACCTTGCTCGAGGGGTTTCAGATTCTTGGCTCAGTGACGTTCGTTGAAGTTGGCCTCCAGTTCACGCTACGCTCCCTCCTGCTCTCCTTGATGGCTTCCAGCTCTGGCCAGTCTGGTTCCAGCTCCTCCTCAAGCTGGGGCAATGGGGTGCGAAGGCGTCTGCCCTTCAGAAGTTGGGCTGGTGATGGTCCTTCTGCCAGGGGTGCGTTCCTCAATGCCAGCAGTCCGAGTTGGATGAGTGGTTCCTTGACCAGGGTCTGCTTCGCCTTCTTTACCCCTGCTTCCGCGGAAGCGCGCTTTCCCGTTGCTCCAGGGGGCGTGTGGGCTGCTGATGGTGTGCTGGAATTGGCACAGAGAGGCAAAGTTAGCGAAATACAGGTTGTTGAACGGTGGCCCTTTGTCCGACCGAACCGTATTGGGCGGATCCATGTCAACCTGAACGAGGTTTGACCCCTACCCTCTCGGAAATTGCTCGAAACAGTCTTTAATTATTGATCTGTGCCTAAAACCACCCCGAAAAAATTTGGCTGAAAAATATTATCATTTGGCCGAACTGTGGCACTTTTTCTTTTTTGCCAATTTTGAAAAAACCGACATAAAAAATTTGAATTTTTAAAAATTATTTTTCGAAATTGGAATATTTGCGGCCTGATTTGTATGATATGAGTTGTCATAAGATAGACCAATGAAATTTGCACTCAGAAAACCTTACAAACTATTTTGGGCCTTACAAAGAAAAGTAGTTTGTATAACAAAGTATTTTGAGCATACGTAAGCTTACAAAGAAAATACTTCGTAATTTACGAACTATTTCTTCGCATAACAAAGTATTTTAGTTTGTTATATGTATGCTCAAAATACTTCGTAAGGTTTTAAGAGTGTGGGTCATAGACCCCATCTCAGTCACTTTAGTCTGAAGGCTGAGGAATTTCTACCAGTTTTAACTAAAAATCAAAATACCAGACCTTGCCCCACCTTCTACAATCCATTTTCGTTCATGAAAATCTACCTCAAGGTTGTAGTAACAACATAGCAAAAATCTGGGACGGAGTCTTTTATTGTAAGGAAAGCGTTCCAGAAAGCGCAACTTTTGACCTGTCGCTTGAAATGTCAGCAAATGCAAAGTACCATTCTATTTTAGTGAACTAAAATCGAAGAGATGAAATTCCAAGAGTTCGTTGGTTTGGCATGGAATCGCCCAGTTGTAGTAGTATTTCACCAGGCGCGCGCAGCGCACAAGGCCCCGTCACGAGGTCGAATCAGTACCTCGGATCCCAGGCGGCACCCGGAAAATGCACCCCCTTTTCAACGGTAGGCCTGGGGATCCCAGGCACCGCTTTTGGCGTGATTACTGCTTTAGACTGTCTTGGCTTAATTTGGCTTAATTTTTAAAGAGTGTAAATGTCTCTCTGTCGGTACCAGGTGACGTTGCAAGTGTTCTATGAGGCGCTGTGCAAAGACTCCATCCGCTTCGTTAAGGATCAGCTGAAGCCGACCTATGAAGCAGTAGGATCGGAACGAATGGTGGTGGACTTCGTGCCGTACGGCCGAGCGAGGGTAAGCTTATCTTTATTTTGATTAGTAAAATTAAAGCTCCTCGAAACGACTTTACAGTTGACCAATCAGGATCTTAAAAAAAGGGGGTTGACCAAGAAATTTCTTTTATTCTTGATTCGAGTAGATCTTGATGAGACCTTTTCAACGCATGGTCGGGACCCAGGTCTGAAATGCTCGCATCGTCATCGGGGACCCTGTGAGGTGCCTGTCGACGTCCTCGGGGACCCAACGGTTCCCTGTGAGGCTTTGACGATGCCGTCCCGATGTGGAATTGGCCGCTCGGACAACAGAGAGATGAACACAAAAAACAACAGCCGATCTCCGTCTTTTAAAAGACAGAGATCACTGTGGTTTCGGGTACAGAGCGACCCTGTGAAAAAATTAACAGGATTCCCTGTAGTTTTTTCTCGCAGTGCAGTGGTGATGCGGAGACGGCATTGACTACGCTTCGTCGTTCTGATACCGACTCCGCGTTTGCAGGTGCAGTCTCATTGTCCGCACCACACGTGCGGAGCAGACCACGTATGGGTTTTAAGTGCGAAACACTCCACTCCTCATCGGCTAAACTGTTGCCGGCCACAGGAGTCTGATTCCGAGAGTCCGTTATCGTCGCTCTGTCTCTCTCGCTACACACTAAATGTTATGTACAATTTTGTACGACACATCACCGTTTTTTTGTGCACTCGAAATTTTCGTACAATTTTCGCACGAAAAACTGCACATTTGTCGTCATTTTTGTATAAAATTGTACAAAATTTTGTACCAAATTGTACGGAAAGTTCGTGTGCACAAAAAACTGTGATGTCTCGTACAAAATTTGTACAAACACATTTAGTATGAACTATCGGGGACGCCTCACAAGTGCGAGGGAGACAAAGCGACGAAAACGACTCTCGGACATGGTCTGCCGATAAGCGACCGGATGCCCATGTGCTAAGCGTGCGGTATCGCCTCCGATTAACATCCCCCGCCAGATTGGCTGCACTCTCAGCACTTTATTGACTTTTTGCTCATTTTTTCAGAAGTTGTGCTCGTAACTTGTGCAGCCATAATACGTACTTTTCCTTTTTTAAGAACTTCTTAGGAAATATTAAATAATGTACTGACAATTTGGTTTTATACACAATTTTATAGTACAAAGGAAATTAGTCAAAATTACCAAGAAAATACGAAGTTTTGTTGTTGCTCATACGAATAGGTAATTAATGAGTAAAAAGTCAGTGACGTGCTGAGAGTATGTGGGTTGAGATGCCACCTGCACTGCAAAGCCGCTGGTAAGTTCGCTTGCCACAAAATTGGCAAGCCGTTTTGCTTGCCGAATATTGGCAACCTTGGCCCTGAGATGCGCCTCAGCTTGCTAATATTTGGCAAGCGAAACGGCCAACGCGCCAAATTTTGGCAAGCTAGTGAGTATTTGAGGGCCCAGCTTGCCAAATTTTGGCAAGCAAAACGGCTGGCCAATTTTGTGGCAGGGAATCTTACCACCGGCTTTGCAGTGTGCATGCAGGCTGATGCATCAGTCTCTCTTCGACCTGTCCTACGGGATGTCTCAGGAAAGCGAGAAAGAGGAACCGCGCGATCCGAATCAGTCTGATACGCCGGGGCAGAGTCCTGGCCTAGTGAAGGCACTGGTTGCAAAAAGCACTAATGAAGTGCGGAACTTGTCTGCTCAATTACTTGAGTGGACCCATCCGTATCTTGCCGACTAAGCAGGTTTCGTTCATGTTTTCCGTGCCAGTGTACGCGAGGTGCTTATGCGCTCTGCACTGCAGAGAACTAGCACGGAAGGTCCATACTTTTCCGAGGGCCATTTTTCGCACATTTTTCGTCCACAATACCGAAATGTTTTGCTCTTTGCGAAAGGTCCTACACGGACGGGCCAAACGCTCCAGCGTTTTGTGGCTCTGGTTCTTTCGCACCCACTTCCACACGTGCGAGAGGGTCACACTTAAAAACTAACGAAGTATTTTGAGCACGGTACAAATTATTCAGTTTGTAATACGAAGAAACAGTTCGTAAACTATCAAGTATTTACTTCAAGCTTATTCATGTTCAAAACACTGTTATGGGCGCCTATTTCAATGATAGTATTTAAAATTGTGTTTGAGGATTTCTTTTTTAAATCGTAATCGGTTGATGAAGAAAAACAATCGTGGTTGGTGTCGATTGGCAGTCCAGTAATCAGTAATCAAAAACGCACACGATTACTCTACTAATCGAAAAGTGCACACTACATACTGCACCTATGGAGCATGCATCTAGTGCATAAGGGATAGGGAATTTTGTGCATCAGGAAGCGTGTACACTGTACATGGCATGAATGCTTTAGTTAATGTATGCCTAGCAGGCATTCGCTAGCTGGAGCGTGCTTGCAGGCATACTCCAGGTAGAGCATGAAGGCTTTTCGATTTGTAGAGTAATCGAAAAACTCCGATTAATCACGGAAAAAAAGAAATTCGTTGATTTAGCGAGAAAATCGCTGACTCAGCGAATTTTGGCCTTCTAGATTTGAGACAAGGGGCAAATTCGCTGAAACAGCGAACTTTTGTTCGCCAAACAAATATTCGCTGGAATAGCAAACAAATATTGCTGGGATTGCGATTCATGAACGCTGGGGCAGACACGGAATATTGGCTAGGAAATGTGTTAGCGACTTTGGTTTCGCTGAAATAGCGAACAATCTTTGCCCCTAATCTAGCAAAACGCGTATCGCTGGCTGATCCAGCGTCAACATACTTGCTGTTTGACGTTGGTCCAGCCCAACGGATGTGCACCGTATGATACCTGGTGACGCTCAGCTTCGCAAATATCCAACCTCGGTTGGATTTGAACCCGTGATCTTTTCAATACCAGACGCACGCTTTACCTCCAGCCTACCATGACATTCTCCTCGCATCAGCCAGAGGTTCGCACTTGTGTCCTGCGCCCACTTTCGACATGCTGTTTGTTCGTTTAGCAAATAAATTCGCTCATTGGTAGGCAAAATGTGATTGCCACATCAGCTAACTGGGGTTCGCTAAACTAGCGTTATTTATCCTCGTGTCAGCGTTTATTTTCGCCACTTCAGCAAACTTGAGTCTAGCAAACGCAGTTTCGCTGAAGTAGCGAAATATTTTTTTTCCGTGATCAAAAGAAACTGATTATTTGGAAATTACGAAATGAAAGTTAATACTCGTAACATGCTTAAAAGAGCATAGGAAACTTTCTTCGTAAGGTTTTCAGAGTGGGCACTTCAAAGAAAGCGTTGTCGGAATCACTCTGCAGGCGCGGCGCTTGTTGAATTGACTTGAGCCACCTGGTGTGGCAGAGAAAGCTTGCGAAACACAACGCGGAACTTTAGAGTTTGGATGATTGGTGTGTCATCCTGACATGAAGGAGTGAGCGTTATCGGCGGCAGACGGTAGGCTTGGAGGGTCCACTCGTTAGTTTGGTCTGCAAACGATTCCGGATTCCCGAACAAATCTCATTAAAAATGTGAGGGCAGAATGGCAAGAAACAAGGAAGTGACGGGCGCAAGGTCGGTCAACATATTGCAATATATCTTCTCTTTGTCTTCTGTTTCCATTCGTTAAAAGGGTACCCTCTGGACCAGTGGAGTGCGAATGATTCGAATCAGGGCACATTTGATTCGATTCAAAAACAAAACGAAATGGAAAATTTCTGAATTGAATGTTTTTGGACCAAAACGGCGAAAAAGGCTCATTTTATTAACCCCTTAAGACACAATTGTGTCCAATTGGATTCGCATTCGAATCGAATGTGCCCACATTCGATTCAAAGATATTTTGCAACATTCGATTCAAAATTATAAAAAGAAAAAGGCCGCTTCGCATACCACTTACGGACAGACGGCCTAAGCAGCTTTTTTCTGCACATGATTAGCTCTGCCAGTAGACGCGCTCAATCAAACGCTGTGCTGTCACTGCCCAAATAGCGGCTCTGGGCACTTGGACTGGCTGCCTCTCAAACGGGCGCGCACTTGAAGCGCAGGACCCAATATCAAACTGAGATGACGATAACTGTCACCGTGTCAGTGGCTTATACGGTCAACGTTTGCCCGCATGTCCATAAATTGGTTATAGCTCTCATCTACACAAATATAGCAACGGACAATAAGAGTTCATAAACCTATCAGTGTGCACTGAGTACATCTTCGCTCTTCGGTTTGTAGACCAACTCACCCACACCTCACCAAGCCCTCAAGAATAGGCGCGCGGCGCGCGGGTGTTGCTGTGAAGCTGCCTGGCTGCCGATCACTATGAGAATAGTGTACAGTTTTCGCCGTTGACTTGTCTGCAGGATTTACTTGAAAGCTCAACATCGTTTACTGTACCAGTCAAGATACAGCTTTTTAGCAGATGATACCTTTACTACTTTAAAACGTACCTAGAATAATACAAAACACTTAAAGGTGTCAGCTAGCTTTTACTCCAGAGTCCAGAAACCAAGGCTGTATCCTAATAATAATGGGGGCTGGCTGCCGGGGCGGGCTGGTGAGTGAATGAGTGAGGCACAGCCTGCGCGACGCATCGACAACTCCTCCTCCGGGTACAGCGCGAGCGGCACCGGCCAACAATGCCCTCCCCCCTCTCGCACAGTCCCTCCCCGGGTACAGCGCACAGAGCAGCAACAATGCCTTTTGGCACGGCTCGGCGCGCTCGGGGCACGGCCGGGCACGGCGCGGCAGTGCAAGCCACAGATCGGCTCGCACCAACACTGTCTAGCTCGCTTAGGTCTATGTACATATTTTATTGGGCTATCTATTTTATTTCATACACAATTATAAAAAATCCCGAGCTACTACCTAGAAGAAAACCAAACGAGTATCATCTGCTTTCATTAACGTTCGTTGAATGAGATTTTTAGGCACGAAGTAGCCTTATAGTATACCCAGGATTCAGCCGGCCCGAGATTCAATTTGTGTGGCCCTTTATGCATTTCGGAAATTTTCTATACGATTTTAATGAGACTTTGCAGACTTGTAGAACTTTGAACGCTGATTCTCATGCTGAAATCTGGTTAAAAAGTTGGTGGCCAATTTTGAGAAATTTGCTGTCAAAATCGCCGTTTCCATGGCAAAACTCGACTCGTCAAAGGAAAAAAAAGGGAGTGGGGGGAGCCGAGCCGAGCCGGACCAATAGCCGAGCTTCTTTTTGGGTCTGTACAGCTTACTCCAAAAGCTGAAATCAGCACGTTCGAAATGAAAAATTTCTTTGACTGCAGGTAGACAAGATGCAACAATAGAATTGGTGTCGGTTCGAACGCAGTTTTTCGGGTAGAACTATCCAATAATACTTCTTGATTGGAGTGTTTTTGGACATGCGCAGTAGGTTTGCAACCTGTTAACAGTTTAACCAACTGTAGCATTTGAAATCTGTATTAATTTTGCTCTCTTTCTTGTTTTTTCTTTGTTTCCTGCTTATGAAAATTCATATAAAACAAATTTTCAATTTTTGTGTGATGACTTTCTAAAAAAATATTCACAGAAAATTAGCAAAACAAAAGTTCTTTTTTTTTGACACACAGTTTCTCAAATATTCCTTTTTTTCCTGTCAATAAAACAATTTTGTTGTTGTTGTGATTCAGTTAGCACTAGGACCACTTCGCTCCACCTCGCGACTTGCAGTGCTCATGTTCCTCGAACAAGACTCACCCGCATTTCGAAACCATCCCTCCCGAGTTTATGAAGTTGCTCAAACCAACCGTCGTGGTGTGGATACGTAGTAAGGGAGAACTATTACACAGAATTGAAGAAAACATGACTAGAGAACCATAGCCTTTTGAAACAAGCCAAACAATTCAACGTCAGCAACAATGGATGGGCAGTTTTAATGCGCGACTGCTGGTGCTTTCAGCTTCGCGATTTTCGCAAGGGCACAGACGCCGAGAAACTAGTTGCCAACCCGTGAAAATTAATTTACTGCCTTCTTTCTGCCAAGAACATTTTAATAATGATGGACTTTAAAGATGTTCCATTGTCAGAACACTGCGGAATACATTAGCATTGGAATTTTTTGAATTTACCAGCATTTTGATTTCTTTTTTGTCAAGTTTAAATTTCGACGGGTGGCACATCGACCACATTGGTACCACTGCCATTGGTAGTCCCCTGAGCCACAACTTCACAACACCACTTCTTTTCTTTCTCTACACTCTTACACAATAATCAAATTGACTTCGTGACTCCTAGGATTTCTTGAAATCGTATTTTTTTTTTCAGTAAAGACAAATCCGAGGGCTTATGCACTCTCAGAACGTGTGACCCGACCATTTACGCCTATATTGCGTTAAAATCATCCAGATTTCGCAAAAAACTCAACTCCTGAAACTGTCGTCTTTTTAAGTTTAACTGACGTCGAGTATCATCTACCGGTTTTTTATTTTTAATGTTATCTCCGAGTCTCCGGCATAGCCTCGGTGCAGGCTGCAACCGGCGAGCACGATGGGTTGCCTATCTCATCGACTGAAGCACAGGGCCTGTCCTTGGAGGACCGCATCTCACATTAGAATTTAAACATGTTGCAAAAATATATTACACTGCTTTGTGAAACGTCCAGAAAAGATAATGATTATCCAATCCTTATTCATAAATTCTATGTACACTACCTTCAACAATAATATCTGCGAAGTAGGATCCTACGCAATGGCTCTCGTTCGGTGCGTTTGCACTAAATCACAGTGACAGGCCACAGTACCGGTTGTGATAGTTCAAAGACGAGCAGCCGCCTCGCCTACACGAGTGATATCTCACCAACTGCAAGGATTATAGTCAAATAATTTGATGTAGAAATGTAAACCTTTCTGAGGCGAATAATAAAGTAAAACGTTAATTTACGGATAAGTCATTTCTTTGCTTCGGCCTCCAAGTTGAATCTGATTAATGGTTTCAGCCTGCACGGAACTACCCGCTGGGAATGAACCGCTAATCCTGGGAACCTCAGGAGTTGAATTTACCGTGTGCCCGCAGTAACTGTAAACTTTTGTTTGCTCTTTCCGCATGCTGCCCTCTGGAATTCAAGACCACCCCTTCGGCCACCGGTTACACGTTCGAGTGTGAACATGGGCCAAACGAATGTCGGGGCAACGAGCTGCAAGCGTGCGGGCTGGCCCGGCTAACGGACAACATGAAGCAGGTCAAGTTCGTCTACTGCGTTGAGACCCAGACCGACCCTTCGAGGCCAGACAATACGGTAGGCGATCTCTTCGTCTTCATTACAAGCAGCACTGCCTCCAACGCTGGTAACACAATTGCATAGAAACTTCGCCCTTTAGGGCATACGGTATTTTGCGTCCTCTAAGGGACATAGCTCTAATGCCTTTGTTTCACCAGTGAAGGTCACATGAAAGAGCATAGGGTCAGGACGGGGAAGAATCGAACACCACAAATCACACACCCCTCGTTTAGACTGAACTGTCACTTTCTGATACGCGGAAGTACTCTCTACCGGTTATTGGAATCCTACACTAATGCGTAACCGTGCTAGTCAGTCTCAAAATTAGGAAATCCAGTCAAAAAGTAGGGTGCCCGTGCCCTGTTCGCCCCCACCCCTCAGGTGTTCGGTTCTTCCCCGCCTTGACCCTACACTGAAAATCATATGGTGATACGTCTCAACCTGCGAGGGGTGAGACATAACTGCCGTGCCGAACACTGCAAGAAAAACCCACAACAAAAGTACACAAATCCCTGGCAAATTTTTTATCTGTAAATTTATTGTACTTTCAGAGTGCAACAATTGTGTACAAAGTACAATGGAACCGGCATGACGAGTGCTGGTCAGTCCAGGCCTCGTTTTGGTTTGTGCAATTCACGTTGTACTGTCTACAATCCCTGTCGTACTTTTGTTGTACAGTTTTTGTTGTACTATTCTCAATTTTTCTTGCAGTGAAAAAGGGTGGTACTAAAATGTGTGGCCGTAAAAGGACGATTTCATCGCATCTCCGTCAGTGGGTGGTATTTCGCCCAGGACGAGGAAAGCATGGGCCAGTCGCGCTGATGTCCGACCCTGTTTTCGGTAATAGATTCTAGTATCGCTGTTTTCCGGTTTATGTACGACCATTTTACGGCAATACTTCATGCATCGCTGAAAATTGGTGAGATGCCTCGTCCTTAGAATTTCAGTCTAGTTAGCCATGAACGGACTTTAAAGAGCTGTCTTGGCAGGTATACGGTTCTGGGCGCATGCACTCCTAAGTGTGTAACATGTGATTTGGATGTTCTTGCAAGCAAGCATTCACAAATGTGTACTGATAACGCATTATTAGGTTTGTAGTGTACTGCACTTAACAGTGCTGCTCACTGCAGTTGGAACCTCCTTGAAACAAAGAACATTTTTTCCAGTTTGTGACCTCTTTTTGCTCTGCAGCCAAGAACCAGGGATCCTTAACTTACCTCAAAAGGGAACTTGCAAAAATCCTTACCCTTCCCCTTAACGAGCATTGTCATATGTTACGTTATGAAATCAGTGTTAGTTAAATGCCAAGAATTAAAATACAAGCAGTGCGAGCACTCTTAACTTTGATCATTAATGAAGTTTGGGTGAGGTCTCCTTTATGACCCAACATTGGGTGAGGTCTCCTTTGTGACCCCACTTTGGATGAGGATTACTCGTGAGGAAGGTTTTCTCACCCAAATTTGAGTAATAAAGGGTCTGTTAACTACCTATTAAGACGGTACTATCACCCAAAAATGGTCCTTACTCCAGAGAAATACGTAAACCAAATTTTATTCCTGCTTATTGTGGCTCATTTATGGTTACTTATACTTGTACACATTGGTCTAACAAATTGCTAACTTAGTACTTACACACAACAAATGCATTCCTGCAATTGCACACTTACAACTGCGGCGCCGATACTGTGGTGTTTTCGAACACTTCAGTGACCCATGGTTCAAGTCAAAAACATCTTCGTAAAACCCATTGTGCAATGTGCAGTGCATTACCGAGGCGGGCCTTGACCCGAACGACATCAATGGCTGCACCGACGGCACGGAGGGCCAGAAACTACTGGCCCAGTTGGGCTACAAGACTCCTATTCCTAACCTATACCCCAACCATCGTCTTCAACGGGGTAAGTTATTGTTTCTTTTCCCTTTTTCTCTCGGATGACCGCCTAGAGACAGGGGGTGGCAACGGCCTAGGGAGAGCGTGAAGCGATGCTCGCGCCGTCAGTGCAGAGGTTGCGCACTTGTTCGAGATTATGAAAACTAGACTGTGTTTTTCAAAACACTTTGCACTGATAGAAAGGGCTTGAAATTTAGGGTGCATTAGGCTAATTGCCCTACTCGAAACTCCTCCCTTACCTAATATAAAGGAGCAGTAAAAACACCGAAAAACACAAAAATCATAAAATTTAGGAAGAAACTCGAATGCGCCATGTTGATGTAAATGATTTGCCCTTGTGTTCGGTTGAATTGGAAGTATTGGGCAGTCTACTAGGCCTAATGCACCCCAAATTTTGTGCTCTTTCGATCTGTGCAAAGCGTTTTGCGATCAACGGTCTAGATCTTACAATCGAAGCAAAATAAGTAACCCCTGCACCTTACTCGCGCATGGCTTCACGCGCCTCTTAGGCCGTTGCCGCCCCCTGCTAGAGATCAGAAAAAGGTCATACTGACGTCAGAGAGCTAAAATTGATAAAACTTAGTCACGCTCAGCATCAGTGACTAGAATTTGACTGAGTAATTTGTGTCAGATTGACAAGTAGGGGTAGGTTGGGTAAGAGAAGTACACTCGAAGCTCGGGTAAGAAAAGTACACCCGTTATATCTCCGAACTGAAACTACACTCAACCATCACGTTAGTGGTTTTAGAAAGATTGGTCATCCCGCTGACAAAAAATAAATTTAGCCCAGTTCTACATATAATATTTAGAAACAAACTGCACGTTTGAACAACACATTAAAAATAACTATGAAAATCTTTTTTTAAAAATGTTTGTACTTTGAAGTACAGCTTCCTGCAGAATCAGCCGACAGTCCAATGTAAGGTACCACCTTATAGCTTAGACCATCATCTTTGAAAAACAGTGCCGTTCGATGCTTTTAGGTTTCAACCCAATTTTTTATAAGTGTAAAAATGAAATGGGGAAGAAAAGTACAGTCGGCTGGGGAAGAAAAGTACAGGCATTGGGGAAGAAAAGAACACCCTCTAAGAAACTAAAAGCGGGATGAAAATTGAATTGATCACGGAAATAAATTTGATTAGGCGAGACGAGCAAAAAAAGTCAACACAAGTTATAGAGACTCGAAATAAACAAGTTATTGGGCATTTGCGTGAAAAGGGGAAGAAAAGTACAAAAATAGCCACTTATCTCTGAGAAAAGGCTTCTTGGACCTTCTGTGATGAGTCCATGTAGAATCAGAACCCATTGACCGATTTTGACGAAACTTGAACTTATGGCAAGTGAAAGCTCTCTACTTTAAGGGTAAACCTGTATTGAGCCAAGATTGGTGGTCTCCTGCTTCGAAATCGCAATTCTTTACGTTGTACTTTTCTTTCCCGGTGGTGTACTTTTCTTACCCTTTTCGAGGAGTTCCGAAATCACATACATTTCAGCATGTTGTACGTAATGTGGGGAACTATAATCAATGCACAGTGATCCATTTCATTAGGAAAGCATTGGAATACAAGTTCACGAGAGCAGAATAGTTGAATCCTCATTTGGGACTTCTGTACAGTGCAAAGTACGCGTTTTGTACTTTTCTTCCCCAACCTACCCCTACTGTATCATGTGGCAGGTCGCTAAGGCCTAAGTTTGACAGAAGCTGTTGACACTAAAAGGATGCCGTTTCCAACAGGAATACAACAAGAAGGACCAGGACTTGGGGGAGAAAAACCTGCTCTCCGTGGTCTGCGACAAGCTAGGCTCCGAGAACAGTCCAGCCGCATGCAAAAGGTAACTTACCATCATTTATTTCATCTTATTCGTACTTTCAAGCTACAACGCCGCCGGGCCGTCCCTGTTTCATGTTTCTTATTTGTCGGCAGTTCTTCCTCTTCCTCAACATCCCTCAGAAGTGCAATGCTGGTGTCGCTTTCAAGCATTATTTTGACCGCCTTCATCAGGTGATGACGGTCTTCCAATTCTGCGGACGTGAAATGCAGCTAAGAATCCTGCTGTTAGCCCTGTGATCGCCAGAGCCCATCGCCAAGCCTGAAGCAATTTAGGAAAAGAAGAATGGCATACATTAACGTACATGACGCAATAAAAGAAGTCAAACATTCACTCTCACCCAAACTCTACGGTACAATACCCACTGTCTGGATTTTCCTCCAAAAATAAGCTTTATTTTTATTGCAATCATGCACACTTTAAGAACTGCAATAAAAATCAAAGCGAAAGTTCGCATTAAACGTGTTTCAGTTTTACCACGTAAGAAATCACAACAAAACGTTATGGCAAATATTTGCAAGAAGTGCTACAAAAGGGGGTGCTTTAAGTTTGCCAAACCAAGAACTTGACAAGCTACAGCCTCACTCACAAACTGTCATGAATAGAGAAAAAGTGTCAGTTTGGACATGTGGATTTTGATAAAACAATCAGATCAAAAGGAAATAACTCCAGCCAAATTTGAACACCAAGATTCATCAAACATGTAGAATTCATAACACTTCATCGAAATTCGACTGAATTTCATTGGATTTGTACAACGAAATTCACAGTAATTTCCCCTTGAATCAGACACAAAAAAAAACAACATTGCAATGCTTTCAGATGGGTACCTGCACTTCTACAGAGCCTAAGTGGCTGCGAGGACCCTCGCCACGCACGTAGTTGTAGCACTTAATTATAGAGTAGTTTGTAAATGTGGAGCAACACCATGCCTCACTCTCAATTTCTCAAACATCCGTATGAAGAAAGTCTAAAGAAGCAGAGTGAAAAGACAGTTGACAGTTAGTTGAGTTAGGAGAGCACTTACTTAGAAATGAGACAACAAGACTGACTTTACCTCCATAAATGGGTGAGAAACATTTTCTACTTTTATTGTGGTTCTGGATGTGGGCTGGGCTGTACTGGGCTGGGCTGAGGCCCTTTTGACAGGGACAGAACCCCCCAACTCCAGGAGGGCATGCGCTGCGTATTCTAAGTGGATATATAGATTAACAAAGTTGCCAATGAACTCAGGCCATAAGAAATTATACTTCCATAGTCTTGTCGTCGAATGGGACAAACAGGCTCATGTATGTAGAACTCTCGCCGAACAGATGATAACGAAATCACTGCGCACTGCGCGTGCGTGCGTACGGGTGCGGAGGGGAGGGGAGAGAATTCGATCTCTCGACGCCCGGCCGCCCGCCCGACCGACCTCCCGATGTGCTTCGGCTTAAGAGGAGGCACCCAAATGTACATCATACAGGAAAGACCGAATGTATATTAATACAAAGAATACAAGAAAAAATCCAAATGTAAATTCAAGGGGGGTGGGCCAATATTAACTACAAGGTAGGTGTACGCCAGAGAACGTGTCTTGTGCCAGAGAAAGTTAAACGATTAAAGAACCGTACTCCAATATAGTAGGTATTTTTCTCTGCGAATTTTCTCTTGCATGTGGGAAGTTTCAGATCAAATTTATGCTTGAGATAAGCTATTTACAATCCCTTTTAGTTATTCATATTTATCAATTACTAGGTTCAGGCATGTCTGTACAGAAATACAAGGGGCTGTCAAAAAATTCATTTTCTTCAAGTGGGATCTGCAAGATACCTTTCTTCCTATTCTTTCAATTCTGACAGCCGTCTCCTGCAACGAAATTCTTTTTTTACACTTCAACAGAGTAGCAGAACCCCATACAGAGGTAGAGTACGCTAGGTGAGAGAAGATGAAACCATAGTATACTTTTATAAGTACATCAATATTCACAATTTGGGAAAGTAGTTTCATAACATAGAGCCCAGATCTAAGTAACCCTCATGTAACCCTCACCTCGCTATTTTCAATTTCGGAGGATAGATGAGAATAACTCGCTTTAGAAAGCGTTCTGTGCTGTTTAAATACATGGAAATAAGGCAGCAGGTGATTTGAGACATAATTCAAGCCAAATTATATAAACTAATGAAATTCTATTTTATAACGGGTTTGTTGAGAATCACCGCCAATGTGTGTTACGCAAAAAGTACGTCCCTAACCATCACTGGACAAAGTTAAGGCAACTTATGTCACGTGCTTTACATTATACAGGGGTCACGCCTCCAGGCCCCAGCGCTACTTCGATGGTGATTTATACCTGGGGAGCCTCGGTGTAGAAACTTTAAAGATCTCAAAATCTAATTTGCCTGCCCTCACTCCCTCAAAAACTATACTTGAGCACCGATCACATACATTCGCTTTGATTGGTCAAGGACCCTCTACTTCTACCGAGAGAGGGGCAATACTCTAATTTTCTTCTGCACCCTCCACTTAAATTGATAAACGCATTTAATACGAATCGCCCCACTCTCCCTTACTCCTAAACAACACACCATGCATAGGATCTGCAGCAGTTGACTTCAAAATAGAAAACATGCACATCAGAGACAAGTGGGATGGGCACTTAATTCCTCTTCCTTCGGTTTGAGATACAGTTGCCTAATTAACACGAAGGTTATAATTTGGTATCTGTACGAGGCTCAAAATCTTCTTCAAATAGAAAAACCATTACATTACCAGCACGCTTGAATTTTTCTCCAGATGTTAAACAGAATGGGCATGCATCGTACCCCTTAAAACCTTTCATATTCAAAAATGTAGCTCTGGCGGGGGTTTCACAAGTACCGCACAATGTGAACATACGTACAGTTTGTACAGTTTGTTCATAATCCAGGTTTGCATGAACATCAGTTTTAAACTTTTCCATGTCCCCAAAAACTGGTCGAAGAAAAATTTAAGGATGCCGCTTGGTTTTACTGCCCTAGATTCCCTCAAGCAACATATTTTCGGTTTTGTACCTTTCAGATGGAGGGATGCTGGACTCTTGCAACGACACCCCCTCTGAATTCCAGGAAGCAGTCAGATCGTTTTCCTGCAAAAATTGTTCAGCTTGTTTGTACAAATGTCCATCCAAATCTTGCTTTGGTGTAAAAACAACCCTATGCGCGCGACTTAAATTCGTTCCCGAGCAACCGATTCGAAGACGAACCACTGTCGCTTCAAAATTGAATAGGAAATTTTCACGACGAAGGAAATAAGTCAGCGGATGAAGAAAGACAGCAGATGAAGAACCCGATCCAGAAAATATGTTTCGGCCTACAGACCATGATCAAAGCCACTACTTTGCCGCCAGAATAGAAGGCGGAAGTCGAAAAATTAACCGGCTGAGTGATAGCGAAGCTCGTTACTAAGCTGAGGCCAGACATTTTTGTCTGTCTTTCTGTCATGACTACGCCCCCTGAACGGTTCGGCCTATCACTTCATTCCAGCAAACAAATGACAGGAAAAGGAGCCAAAATCTCCAATTAATGCGCTTCAAATGTGTTGTTCTTGGCCCGTCTTCCATGTCTTAGAGCAGGTGGGGAGCATCATTTGGGTTTTCTGGGCATCGTGGCCTTCTGATTCTGTGCCTCAGAGTCTCTCAGTCTTTCTCTCTCGTAACCCTTTTGATTAAATCTCCATCGTAAATCCTACCTTAAAGATACGGAAAATTAATTAAAATTTCAGTTGATGAGGGTGACATCACTTCGTAATACATGAAGAATCTGGTTGCAAGCTATTGAGAACCCTCCATTAGGTTAGTACCTTCGCTGCGCTGCCATAATACTTTTGGTTCTCAATTCGAGTGCGCCCAACGGTGCGGCTACGGACAGAAAGTACAAGGGCACGTGCAGGCGGTCAGGCAAATTATTTGTATTTATTTGCGCTAAAAATTACATGTTACATGGTTAAATGGATTTTACACATGCCAGTAATTGCGCATAACACAGCACCACAGGCATGAAGTGTGAAGTCACCTCAGCAGTTCCAGAAAAGTTTCAAAGATCATCCAGACTGCACGACTCTTTTTGAAGGAGGATTTTTTTAAGGACAGTTTTAAAGATGTTCGGGATATCTCTCTTATCTTTAATTTCTTCGGGGAGTCTGCTAAAAAATTGAGATCCCATGCATAATGGATTGTTTCTGTCAACATTCACTCTATAGAAACGGATGGATTTCTAGTACCGTAATAATGCACTTCTTTTCTTAAGGTTACATCTTCGAAATTCGTTTTAACAAGGAGGACACACATATACACATGAAGTGAGAAGACAGTCAGAGCATTACAAAATAAATTTTTGACCAGACTATTTCCGAACTTTTTTCTATCAACGCAGTGGTGCTGCAGGCCGTCGCCCTGTGCTGCCGACCCCATTTGCTCTGCCGGGGTACAGGAGGAAATCGGCCACGCCACGGTTCAAGCACCGCGTTCGTGCCATGCTAGCCCAGCCCACGAGGGATAAAGATAACGGACGATTTGCACTGCCGCTACGTTATCAATTTGCATTGTAAGTTCGTACTCCCATTCCACTCATCTTGACCGCATTACAATACCGCAGTGTGGAGAGAACATTTCAAGTCCATACAGGAAATGATAAGCGATTCAAAGTTTACTCATTTGGTTATTGGCACGCGTGCCACGTGTCCCAAAATTTGACAGTCTTAAAGTCACGTATTTGCGTAGATGGGTAGGAGCGATCAGGGTATCAAAAAATCCTTTCAAATGCACGCTCTAAAACATACTACCACAAAGGCCACAAGGTTCCGCCGACATTGTGTCGGGGTGATCGCACCTTCTCAACAGCAACGCGCTGTTTGGTGGCTTAAAATTATCTGTTGAATGGGGATTTAAAGCCTGGTAAATTTACCGGTAAGAATGGGTAAATAACGGTAATTTACCCTGCGTAGATCGGTAAATGACGGTAATTTTCGACTAAACCTAACCTTCCTGATGTTTTTACAGCAGAAATTTACCCAGAGTGCACAAAGGCATGAATATTTGACAATAAAAGTGTCTCAACCACTTTCACATGCCTTTTTAAAACACTCCGCTAGTCTTAAATTCCCTTTGAAAACAAGTTATTAACAGTTCATTAGCAAAATGCACTTAAACATAAGGTCGAATTTTTCCGTTATTTACCGTAAATGACGGTAAATTACCAATTTTACCGTCCAGATTGAAAATTACCGGTAATTTTTAATCCCTACTGTCGAAGACGGATGCCAATTTGTTGCGTCTGCTATCCGCCCTCAAAATCAAACCTACACGCAAGTCTGCTTGCGGAAGGAAGTTGCCTGCACGACAGCTTCAAATCGCTCAATAGGTCGTTTTTTATCGATTCAGGAACAATGGAGCGGGACGCTTCTGTGTCCCGGTTGGCGACATGCGATAAGCAGCGACAATCAGTCATTGAAACTCCCGTCCCACGTTTATTGGCATTGAAACCAATACCTGGATCTGATCCCATTAGGGCTGACCCAGACACTTCCGAAGTGAGTAAGCCATCAAAAATAAAAGTCATGAACGTCAGAACCGGCCAGTTGTGAGGATATAAGCGCGTGCACGGGTTGAGATAACAGCAAACCGACCCTCACGCCAGCGGCAGTCGCAGAGAACATGCAGACCTCCATCGTGCTCTTGGCCCTGGCAGTGGGCGCCACGTGCGTGCCCATCCCATCAGACAGCCAGCTGCTCGGCCAGTGGCAGGCGTTCAAGGTATCACTGTAGTATTATTATCTGGAATTGACGAGGCGCAGCTGGACAAAAAAAATACTGCTTTCTCAGCCTTTCACTGACTTTTTGTCATTCGCAGACGTATTTCTGCAAGCAACCATAATAATTCGTATCTTTTCAATATGTTACTCACATAGCTGTTTCGTTTTTTACTCAATTACACCTAAACCCTTCGTTATTTAGAAACGAAATATTAAGTATAATGGTAGCTTACAAATATGCTTCAGCTAATGAGAAAAAGTCAGCAACAGGCCAAAGGTGGCGAAGGCCCTTTACTTCGGTAATTTAACATAAACGACCGCACTCTCCTTCACTCTCATTCCAGGAACGTGACATCACGTTGAAATTAATGTGACAAAATGTCACGTTCGTTTGAGCATTGTGTCACATTCGTTTGGGTGCGAATTGGCCAAAAATCAGCTTGTTCACATTCAAACGAACGTGACACAATGCTCGAACAAATGTGACATTTTGTCACGTTCGTTTTAACGTGATGTCACAATGAGAGTGTTGTAGATTGGAAATTTCTCCTTTTACCACAAATCTTACACTGTTAAAAAATACTGAAAATTCATAATATTTTGTAAGAACTCGATGAACTTACATGCAGTCTGAATCTTCATAACGAAACTTTCAATGTTCAAGGTCTTAAAATTCTGAAGAATTCTAAACCTTACATATAGAACGTTTGTCAAAATGTTGGCTATAGAGGCGCCATCGTTCATACCCAATTCCCAATCCTAAAACTATTGTTTTCTCTGATGTTCGACCTTCAAGTCATTTTGGTGCCCTCACTGTTCTACGGACTACTGCACTGTGGTTTTACAGGCCCAGCACGGGAAAACGTATCAGAGTGAACTTGAAGAAACATCCCGGTTGAAGGCGTTCAAGGACAACGCCATAAGGGTTCTCAAGCACAATGCTCGCTTTGAGAGAGGTGAAGTTACTTTTCGGGTCGCCCTGAACCGTTTCTCCGATCTGGTAAGCAAACACCGTCAAAGCTCTTGTGTAGAGTGAGGGGGCCCGACGGTTGTTGAAGCTATGTTGTCACTTTAAGTAAAGAATGTGGATAATATGTGCATCACTTTCAAATGATGATAAATTCCGTCACAAGCTGCTGACATTTTCGTCAAAGGTCCCATATTTTTTTCACGGATGTGCCAAACATGTCTGGTTTGATGACGTCGAAATGAAAACCAAGTTAGCTTTGGCATTATCACCATAGTGTCAACCAAAATTTTTCACTATTTTTACAGTGCACAGCACTTTGAAGGAAGTGAAGTGGTCTCGCCTGATCAATCTATTTTTACCCGAAACAAGAGAAGAAATGTTTTCACATAAATGGTGCAACCATGGTTTTTCTTCTACTTGATAAATTGCATTTTGCGGTGTTTTTCCTTCAACTTACCGTGGGCTGAAAGGACAGTTGCGGGAGGGGCAACCACTTTACGGGAGATCGATAAGTGATAAGCATTTTGCATACACTAGTCTAGTTGAAGTATTCCCGAAGTCCCGTAACCACTGTATCGATGCGGGAAGCATGGCTTCATGAGCCTCGGAAGCTCTTGTCACCCCCCTGGCTCTAGACGACTAGTGAGCTGAGCTGGTTCCAAGGGGTTACCCACTCTGGTAATCGTGTGTACACTTCGTCCGGTAATCATTGGTAATCACACACCTAAACTGGCTAGTTTCACGGTTTTTATCGGATTTTGGGGGTTTTTCTTATGAAAATACGTCAAAATGCTCTTAGCTGGCCAAAATTATGGAGTTTTTAAGTATGTTTGCAGGTAATCACTGGTAATCAGTTATCCTGTGTACACTCCTGAGCTGAGTGGTCAACCCCTTGGCTGGTTCACGTTCACAACTTTTGAAAAGTGTCAACATTGGTATCTTCCGGAACCCTCTTTCTTAGCAGAAGCAGAATATAGGCCAGACATCGAGTACGGCTCCAAGTGACTCCTCGGAGACTTAAGTTTGCAGTGTAACTGACGAGCTATGTGTTCGCCGCTTGCAGCACACGCGTGAGTTCGCAGAGATCTTTACTGGTGTCCGTCTGGACACGCTTAAAGTGGGCAGTCGCGTGCACAACGCATCACTCAGTTCTGCCGGCAACTTGACCAGCGTCGACTGGAGTAAGGAAGGATTCGTCACCCCCGTCAAGGACCAAGGCCTGTGTGGCGCCTGCTGGGCTTTTGCGGCCGTAAGTTGGTCATGTTACGATTCTTCATTCCGAAAAGCCTTACGAACTTTTTGAGCCCTTCAAAGTTAAGTAGCGTCAGTGTTTTGAGCTTGTTCATAATTCGAACTATTTCTTCGTATTGCTAACTAAAAAGTCATGTACCTTACATATGCTCCGATACTTCGCAAGGCTTTAGGCGTGTTACGCTACCGCTACCACGATTTAATAAAATAAGTAATGGGAATCTAGTGTATGAAGCATGTGTTGTTACATAAAACTGACAAAGCTCTTAAAAAAAACAAAACATAAACCACTTTTAAGCTTGAGTTTCGTTTTTTGCAGACCGGTGCTCTGGAGGGACAAATCTTTAAAAAGACGGGGAAGCTCGTTTCTCTCAGCGAACAGAACTTGGTAGATTGCTCATTGAATGGAAATAACCGTGGCTGCAAGGGTGGAAACCCTCAGGGAGCCTTTTCGTACATCCACACGAATGGAGGCATTGACACGGAGAGCAGCTATCTTTATGAGGCTAAGGTTCGTATTAGACTTCTCCAAAATCTCAACAATTCCACCTCAAGTTTCCTGCGAACAACGTTTCCTTCTGCCAATGTTTCACAGTCTTACACGAAACGAGTGGATTTGAACGGCGTCGTGGAATAAGATGACTTAAGTGCGCGATTGCGTGCGTTCATAACAGATTTTATGTTACCGTTTCCGTAGAAAAGATCTTAATTGGTCGTTTCGGCATAAAAACTTTACTATAATGCACGGGCATTTCTCTAAATTTAATCGTCTGGAGTGAATCAGAGAGGGAACAAAACATACTTTTACAACCACGGCAACACGCCTGGTTTCTAATAAATTTCCTCTATAATTTACCACATGAACTAATGAGGCCCTTTCCCGCAATATTTGTTTTAAATAATCAAACTTAAAGAAATTTACGTGTATTTAAGGGGGCAGTAGCGTCTTTTGCACGTGTTTTGACGATTTTCGAACCTCCTGTTTAGACGTTAATATAAAGATAAGTATGAATGCCAGAGGCAAACGGCAGGCACCATTTGAAAGATAAAAGTTTTTACAACATTTTCAAAAAAAAATATTTTGTTTTAGCATTGAATTAGGATGTTTTGTGTTATATGCAAAAATGGTCTGCAAAATTACATGGTTTCACTGCGCGCACGATTGCAGCCAAAGTTTTTAACTTTTTACCAATCGGTAAAATGCATCTGAAAAAGCATGAAATTGCCCATAAAATGACCCTTGGGTTTTAATATTGGGCCAGAAAAAATGTGGTTCGTTTCCATCTTAAGTTGAAGATGAGCGTTTCAATAGTTTTTCTTGCCCAATGTTGAAACCCAAGGGTCATTTTATGGGCAATTTCATGCTTTTTCAGATGCAGTTTACCGATTGGTAAAAAGTTAAAAACTTTGGCTGCAATCGTGCGCGCAGTGACACCATGTAATTTTGCAGACCATTTTTGCATAGAACACAAAACATCCTAATTCAATGCTAAAACAAAATATTTTTTTTTGAAAATGTTGTAAAAACTTTTATCTTTCAAATGGTTCCTGCCGTTTGTCTCTGGCATTCATACTTATCTTTATATTAACGTCTAAACAGGAGGTTCGAAAATCGTCAAAACACGTGCAAATGACGCTACTGCCCCCTTAAAATAACGTATTTTGCGGGGAAACGACTAGATATGGTCTTTCATTCGGAAACGGTAAGATGAGATCTTATGAATAGCACTCCTTCATCCACTCATCTGATCTGTTTGGTCTTCTTACAAATACGTACTCGTTTACGTACTGAGTTGCGCCCTTAAAACTTAAGCCTCCCGCCTCAACCATGAAACAATTTTCAATTCTTTTTTAAACAACTGCAGGAAGGCAGCTGCAGATACAAGGAAGAACACAGTGCAGGCACGCTCTCTCGTTACGTTGAGGTGAAGCAGACTGAGGAAGCTTTGCGCGAAGCGGTGTCTTCTGTGGGCCCCGTGGCCACTCTTTACGACGCCACCCACTGGAGCATCCAGCACTACCACAGCGGTGCGTATCAGCGGGGCATAGCGCCTCTGTTAGAAACCGGTACCCATTTCATCATTGGAACGACTCGAGAAGGAAGTTACTCCCAACGCACGACGTATTTCACGGTGGTAACGGGTCGTGGTTTTCTCAGGAAGTCCCTGGAACTCGCTTGTGTCCTTCTGGGAATACCAGGAACCGTCTAAGCCTGATATAGGCCTAACACGTATTGCTCTGCTAGTACACCGGTAAAACTGAAGCGTAGTTGTATGTTTGATTCAAGCATACAACTGTATGCTTGATTCAAGCATACAACTACGCTTGAAGACTTTACGCTTGACGTCAAGCGTAGAGAAGAAATTCACCCATGCATTTAGATAGGCCGGAGAGGGGCAAAATGGAGAACTATGCTTGAAGCCGAGCGTAGTTCTACTACGCTTGAAGAAAGGCGTAAAACTACGCTTGAGTTCTACCAGTGTATTTCAGTCTAGGAACTTACTAGCCTGCCAGCACCTTCAACTAACATCTCGCTTCTGTTCCGTTTTCTTTTATCATTATTTCAATAGTGATGCACTTACTTCGCTTTCAATAGATCTTATCTGATCGTTTTCGTACAAAGAATCTTACCAGAAAGGCAAGTGACTTTCTTGAAGTTGGGTTATTGCCGACGGGTAAGAGTGGAGGCGTAACATTTTACACGCACACCTGGCATCTTCCATCTTAAGATGACGAATTGTTTACATTTTTAGTTGTCTCAAATGTTCAAATTTAGCGAAATTGGCTTGCGTTGCAGATAAGATAGTCTATACGGAAAGGGCCAGATCGACGCCTCCTACTAGGATAATCCTAACTGTCAGCACTGATCCAAGACAATCCCAACTGTCAGCGCAGATTGTACGACGTAAAAAGCTATATAAAATTCTGTGACGCCAACATTCTGCTTCAAATTTATTGGCAATGGACTTGTTAAGAAGTATAAACCTTGCACATGAACGTGGAAGCTGTATTTCAGTGATGTCATGATTCGCTGCTTTGGACTGAAGAGAGCTAATGAGCAGTTTTAGCCTCCTCTGAAACCTCTGAGCAGTTAGGATTGTCTTGGATCAGCACTGACAGGATTATTCTTTAAGGAGGCGTCGATATAAGATGTTTGAACTAGGACCCCCCCGAGTATGTTCCGCAACAGAGTAAGTACTCCACCGCGCAAACCACATCTCAACTATCTCTTCCTTCCCTTTCAAGGCATTTACTACGAGCCTGCGTGCAGTTCCAATGTGAACCATGCCGTGCTTATCGTGGGCTACGGCAGCGACGGCGACGGCCAGGACTACTGGATTGCGAAGAACTCGTGGGGCACCGCCTGGGGCGAACAAGGATATTTCAAGACCGCCCGTAATAGGGGGAACCACTGCGCGGTCGCCAGTTGGGCCAGTTACCCCGTAGTCTGAACTGAGTTGTGACTGTACGGATGCTGCCAACACCAACCATGCCAATTGTGATATTAGTTTTAATTTATTTCTCAATATGATTCTCACTTAAAATAAAGTCTGGTTAACACTAGAACCGCTGACTTTTTCGTATACCTAGAACCGCGGAAGGGGTCATTTTGACCCCCCATTTTTTCTGCTCGTATTTTTTTTATTTTGCTCATGTTATGGGCCCTTAACGATGTAAAATGATGTATCTGAGATCAACAATGATATTTTGAATTATATAGGGCCTTAAAAGGCCAAAGGTAGGCAACCCGCATGGCACGAATAACCTGTTTTGCTCCTTTTCTACCATTTTTGGCCCGTCCCTTGTATTTTTTTTGTTAAAAAAAATGACGGAGGGACGGAGTATGATCCATGCTGTGCGTCCGTCCGTTCATTCGTCCGTCTGGGGACTTCCCGTGGTCCGATCTTGACCAAATTTGATATGCAGCCTACTTGGGTGACCCTTAGGAACCGCCCGCTGGCAGCTAATCCGATCCGAGCCCCGGGGGCGCTGCTGCAGGTGCATCATGGTCTACCTTAGGTCGAGGAGGATTTCGGCAACGGATACAGCTAGAAGAGCAGGAAGGGAAATTTTTGGAATCGGGGCGACGAGACAAAACCAACGGTGCCAGTTTCAAGCGAATCGGAGAGGTTTGAACCCGGGTTCAAATCCTAGTGGGGTACATTTAGAACATTCTTTTTATTCGAGTTTTTGCATTGTTGTTAATGTGTATGAGGGTGCTGATCTAATTTATGCTGATCTAAAAACATCTATTTTGACCCCAGACTCAGGTTCAAGTCCCGTCCGGATTAAAAATAGGCGAAATTAGTATATTCCTCAATGTACGGGACGGGCCAAAGTTGCCGATGTATATCGCAACTTTTCCTGTTATTCAGTGTGGGGACGTAGATTTTTTACCAGATGATACCTTTACACTTGAAACGTATCTAAAACTATTGGACACATAAACGTGTCACCGTGCTTTTACTGCTGAGTCCAGAAACCAAGCGGTATCCTAACAATAATACAATAATATTAGGGTGGTGGCTGCCGGGCGGGATCGTGAGTGTCGCATGGCAGGCAGTCTGCTCGAAACATCGACAATACCTCGCGGGTACAGCGCGAGCGGCACCGGCCAACAATCCCCTGTCCCCGGGTACAGCGCGCACAGAACAGCAACAATGTCTCACGGCTCGGCCGGTGCAAGCCACAGCTCGGCTCACACCGACATTGGCCAGCTCGCTTAGGTCTATGTATATTATTGGGCTATCTATTTATTTCAGACACAGTTATAAAAAAGCCCGAACTACTACTTCGAACAAAACCAAACGAGTATCATCTGCTTTCATTAACGTTCGTTGAATGAGATTTTTTTATTCTACAGATACCTTACGCGGAACACACGCATCTTGCATACATCTAGGCGTTTGCTCGGCGGGTCGCCTATGCCGTTGGCCAAGTTAGGTCTCCCAGGGCAGTCCATAGCACTCCCAAATGATTCACCACTAAAATTGACGCTTGTGACGCTTTTTTATTGCCAAAATTCGAACTTCCTGAGTGCAAACAATACAGGGGTCAAAATGACCCCTGCCGCGGTTCTAGGTATATTGTTGTCCTACGCCCACAAAAATGGTCCGACAGCGCCGAAATTTCACTCAAATGTTCTTTTCTGGTATTTATAAAAAGTCAAAAAGCCCCAAATCCGAAAAGAAAAAAATAAGTCAGAAAAATGTATGACAAATGTTAAAAGGGGTCAAATTGACCCCCTCCGCGGTTCTAGTGTTAATTGAACCTGTTAAGCCCGTTCCGTAGTATTTTAAGATCCCTAGTGTTTGTAGCAAAGTGCCGACTGGAGGACGAGCACAGTCGGATGCAATGCTGAATGTGAATCCGTGCGTCCCAAAACTTCCCTTGGTCGATCTTCACAAAATTTGGTATCACTTTGGATTGCCTTTAGAGCCACGCGGTGGTAGCAAATTTGATCAGAGCCCCAACAAGAGCCCTGCGATTGCACTGTGATAATTTGTTGTCACTTTAGCCTTGAAATTGTCATCAAGTTACGACTCAAATTTTCAGTGTGGGGCATAATGTTCCGTCATGCTCACTAAAGTCTCGTCGACTTTTTAAATGCACGATCGTGCACGATTATAGTTTTTATGCATAAATAATGCATACACAGATACGTGGTGTGTATGAAATTACGCAACACTGTACATTTGATGCATCTTCCTGCTTAAAATGTACACTGTGATGCACAATATTATACACACACCTTACGTACATATCTGTGCATGCACAGACCGCAATAATTAAATGTGTGGATGGATGGAGTGCTGCAACTGGGGGTGGAATCGCGGCAAGGAGTCAAAGTCAGCGGTGCCAGTTTAGAAGCTAGTCGGAGACGTTTGGGCCCTGGTCTGAATACGGGTGGGGTCAGGGCCAAAACTTTATATTCGAGTTAGGCAGTTTCATTCACTGTCAGAAATTTTGTCGTGAATTAGCGACAAAAACGTCGCTAGTTTTCATAGCGACAGAAGTCGTTCTGAAACTACTTCGTCGTAATTGAACGACCAAAAAATCATTTGTCTACGACAATGTCGTAATCGCGATTACATACTTTGAAATCTGAAATCCCCGAAGAGTTGATGAAAAGTTGCAATTTTGCTCGCTTATTCACGATTTGTGTCATTCATTTACGATTAATTACACAAATTTACGACAAGATTCGCAAATGTACGACTGAACTCATAACTGCACGACATATTCCATAGATAAATTACGATCGTTCGTAAACCTCCGATTAAGTTGTAAATTTACGACTTAATTCGTTTCAAAACGGAACGTCTCGCTATCAAAATTAGCGACAAATATGTCGTAAATTTACGACTCAAGTCGTATATTTGCGCCTTGAGTCGTAACAAAATATGTCGTTTAAAAACGACATAATTGTTCTACAATATGTCGTAAATTTACGATTATTTTTAACAGTGTGGGTTTGCGAGGGTACACTTACGAATGACACGGATGGCATTCGGGTGAAGCCCGTTGCGTTCGAATACGATCCAAACACGTTTCTCAAGTTAAACATGGACAGAGGCTTGAAGCGGAAGAAAATGCCCTCTCCCCATCGTCTCCGTCGGAACTTTGGTGTTCGCCTCCTCCACCAGAGTGCGCTAGCGCGCCGACTCTCGATTGTTCTCGAGCTCTCGCTGGAGTCCTTGTGAGTGCCTGTTAAAACCTCTCCAGTGAAGTCGGCAATAAACAGTCTTCGAGACAAGTCGTGTCTGAAGTAAGGAATACACCATAAATCCCTTGTCCATGGATCCATCCACAGTCCATGTGCAGTCCGAGCACTAAAGCTACGTTTGAATTCTGTTCCGCACCCTCAGACTGTTATCGACTTTTTGTCCTTTGTTAAAAAGCATTTTACATAGCAATAAACAAAAAAACTACTATTTCCTCAATATTTATGTAGGATTTTCTTCGTTATATTGACATAAAGCCAATTTGCTATTGACAAAGAGTCAATACGCCATGGACTTAAAAAATAGTCAGTAATTGATGACAATTAAGTTTTTATAGTGAACAACATCATACATGGTTACAAAGGAAATACTAAATATTATTGCTGCTCAAAAAACTACGTCAGCAAAGGACAAAACGTCAATAACGGAGAGAAAAAAGTCAATACGAGTCTGAGAGTGCGGACGGTGTCGTCGTGGCCATCGAGGGCCGGGCACGTGCCGCAAAGCCTTAAGCCTCAAGAACGCCCCGTCGAGCGATTCAGAAGATTCGTTTTTCGTCGCTGTCTCTATCGCACGCATGAGGCTCTCCCTGAGGGTGCGAGAGAGACAGCGGCAGACTGATGTTCTGAATCGCTCGGCAGGTCCCAATTGGCGTGGTGGGGTGGTGCGGGGCCGGGCGCGGCGGCATTCAAAAGTACATGGTCCGAGTCCAAGCCGCTCGATGCCGTTGACACCAGCAGAAAGGACCCCTTGACAGAAGAACGCCCTCCTCGACGGGGACCAGCACACATTCAGACAGTCGTTATCGTCGCTCTGTCTCTCTCGCACTCATGGGGCGTTTCGTTTGGGTGCGACAGAGACAGCGACGGAATCGACTCAATGAGTCAGTCTGCTGGAGGAAAGGTCGGCACCGACCGCCCGGCAGCCTTCAGTGCAGTGCCATGACTTTCCGCGGCGCCACGCTGTGGCTGTGGGCCGCGGGCTGCAGGGTGGGGGCCTTGTTGGGCTTCATGCCGGTGTGGTGGCGGCGCGGCCGCGCGCACCCACTGTCCCAGATGGCGGCGTTGGCGGCGTTCGCATGTTGCCAGGGCGCCATCATCACCAGCTTCCTGTTGGTGGTCGGCCCCGGCACCATGTTCGCGACGGGCGCGCTGCCCTGGTGCCTGCAGCTCACCGATGGCCTGGTCTGCACCACGCGGCGCCGCGACCTGGCCGTGCTCCTCAACAGCGTCAAGGCCTACCTCGACGCGTACCCGCTGGGCGCCGCGCGCTGGCGCTCGCTGTTCATGTTCTCCGCCCTGAGCGTGACGCCGATCCTAGCGCAGGGCGCGTACCAGATGAGCCAGGTCGGCGGCAGCGGCGTGGTGGGGACCGTATCGCACGTGGTGTACTTTTTGCTGGTCTCGGCCACGTTCGCCTGCACCTGCCTACGACTCATGTGGCCTATGGCGGTGCTGTGCGCCGCGGCCGCGGACCTGCGCGTCGACTGCAAGCGGACCGTGCTGACGGCGTCCAAGAGCCACGCCGCCGCCCTCGACGCCGTCCTCGACGGCCACGAAGCCACCCTTGACGGCCTCGCCTGGCGCGCGCTACGCCAGCGCCAGTTCCTCCTCCACGACATGGTGCGCAAGTCCGGCGACGTCAACGGGCCCTGCGTGTTCATGACGCTGCTGTACCTCGCCAGCCAAACCACGGGCGCACTGGACATCTTTGACGACGCCGAGCTGCTCCCCGCGCTGCTCTACTACTTCCTGTTCATGGCACACGTCCTCGCCATCGCCGCGGTCTGCCAGTGGCCTGCGCTGCAGGTACTCATCGAACTGAACTACTACGAACTTTTTTCTTGTGCACACTCTTAGAAGCCTACGAAGAATTTGATTCGTAGCTACAAAGAAAATGAAGGCATTGTAGAATTGCTTCGTATTTCGAAGAAATGCTTCGTATTACGAAGGATTTTGCTTCATAATACGAAACATTTCCTCGTAGATTTTACAATGCCTCCATTTTCTTCGTATTACAAAGCGATTCTTCGGAGAGTTTTTACTGTGCATAGCTTGTGAACAATATAGATCATGGGCGTGAAAGGCACAAATTCGTGCAGTTTAAAACGCATGCACAATTTTGTGCAGAGCTAACTCACAAAAAAAAACCTGTACAGTAATTTTGTGTGCACTCAATTTGTTTTGACAATTTAGTGCACGCCATCACCCAATTTGAAATGGGCAAACTTAATCGACAAATTTGTACGGGGAATCGCACAAATTCGTATGGAATCGCAGATTAATTTATCTGAAAACCACGTATGCGCAGTATCGAGCAGCGAACAAAGCTTGCCACATGAGACTTGAGTGTTACGAGCCCCACGGGCCAGCGGGCTGACTTTGACCATATACCTCTTCCCACCGCAAAGCTGTCTGATTTTCCTCTGTCGTAGTTCGAAACCCTGGCCATGGAGGTCCAAGGTCTGTCCATCAAGTACCCACAGGCCTTCGATCCGAGCGCCGTCATCGAGGTGAGTGCCCATCCCGCCTCCCAGTGGTCCAGAAGACCGGCGTTCTTGGACCACTTAGCGCCTGACCACGCCCAACCTCACTATGGCTTGAGAGCGAGATTTCTCCGTAGTTTTTAACCACAGTGCTGTGCTGCACAAGGGGAAATAACTCCAGCCAAATTTGTACACCAAAATTCATCTAACTTGTGGATTTCACCAAAATTCATTAAAACTCATCAAAATCCAACTGATCGAATTTCAACTGAAATTCATCGAATTTCAACTGAAATTCATCGAAATTCGACTAAAATTCATTGGATTTGTACACCGAAATTCACTGTGATTTCCCCTTGGTGCTGCAAGCAACGCGTTGCTCCGGCGTGGTCGCTTATGTACTTCCCCGCCTGCCCCCAGGTCCGGTGGCTACTCACGTGCATCGAGAGGCAGGACAACCGATACAGCCTTTGGGGGATATGCCGCTGCGACGAGAGCGCCATCACGACAGTGAGTTTACTTTGTCAGTTTTCTCAAGGTCTTCACTGTTATTCAACGAATTTTCTAACGAATGTGAATTTTGTCACGTTCGCCGTTCGCTTGAATGTGATGTCACACTCGTTTGAAGGTGTCACGGCCCATGGTCATCATGCGGCCGTCTGATGCCATAGACAATCAACTATATCCATAGACCAACTGCTTCATACCCAGGCTGGGATCCATGTGTTACGCCGCTCCCTGATTGGTCGGTACCTTTCACTTCACTCGTCATTGGTCGGCTGTGGTCACCAAGCTGCCTCGGCAGCGAACGCCGCGTCCTGATTGGTCGAGGAGGCTCGAGCTCCACCAATCAGAACGCGGCGTTCGCTGGCGGAGGCAGCTTGGTGCAGTCGATGCCACACTTGTGGAACAGTTTATACCTTTTAAGTTGATGTTCAGCTGCTTTCAGTGGGTGAAAAAGAAGCTCACATAAATGAGGAATATCATCAAACGGCTCGATTTTTCAAATGAACTTTAATTTTAGAGCCTCAGAGGAAGTTTTACGGAGGAACACCGCTCGTGCCGCTCGTGCCGACAACTGATTGTTTGTGTTTCACTTGGTATTTATACCAACAAGCTTCGCTCAAAAACCAAGAGCCAGAAACATAGATTTGAACAGGATGAATGTAATCAGCCCACTAAAATTGGCATTTGTCGAGTTTTTAACCTTGAAATGTTGAAGTGAAAGGTACGGACCAATCAGGGAGCGGCGTAACACATGGATCCCAGCCGGGCATGAAGCAGTTGGTCTATGGATATAGTTGATTGTCTATGCTGATGCGAGTGTCACATTCGTTTAAGTGTGGATAAAGTAGAGATGGGCGAACATGTTCGGATCCGAGCAAACTCGAACGATCCGAACAAAAATTGTGTTCGTTCAGGGACGGACAAAAAGTGCTCGGCCACGGACTGTTCGGAAAATTTCGAGTTAGTCTGTTCGTGGCCGATCAATTTCTCGCTAGTTAGTTTTACAAGACGCTGAATTGCACACAGACGCGACGAACGAGCGCAGACCATGAAAACTCATTCAGTATTTGATCCAGGAAGCGGAAGAATGGGATAACTCAATTTTGCCCATTTTTCAGGAGAAACAAAAAAACTGTTAGCAGGGAAAACTAAAACAAAACAAATGAATGTTGCAGATGTTAATAATTTCAAAAAGCATTTTTAAAATTAAGGAGGGGTTAAGTTGAGTTAATTCTTTTTACACTAATTCTGTTTTCAATTTCTTGTTCGTGTTCGCTCGAATCTGAACAGAGCCTGTCCGCCCATCTCTAGGATCAACATTCAAAAGAATGTGACAAGATTCACTCAAATGTGACGTCACATTCGTTGAATAACAGTGTTTCCGCTGAAGTGGACGAGGTGGGCCTACAGACGTCTTCCAGTTCGCAAGCCGAGTCCTCGAACAGAACTCGATGTGAGGGTTTATCCGCCAGATTTCTCGCTCGGAGGGCAATCGGTTGGCGCCATCATGAGTTTGAATGGAGCCCTACCTGATGCCGCAGCTCGGAACTGGTCTCATGTCGTGCCCGCCGTCCACCCAATACTGATCACAACTGCCTTTGTTTCGCAGGCGCTGTCGGCAGTTTGCATGTACTTTTTCACATGCTTCACGTCGCAGGGCTTCGACACAGCCAAAGACAACAATATTTAGGAAAGTCATTCTGGACAATTTTGAAAATGTCACCCTATTGAAGTTTGAGAGAAAGCTGCAGTAAAGTTTCAATATTGTCCATTTGGCTGAGCGATAGCGAAGCCCGTTACTCCAGTGCGGTAGAAAAGTTTTGTCTGTCTGTCTGAGTGTGTGTGTGTGTGTACACCAGGCATGGGCACGGTACTCTAAAATCAGTACCGCGGTACTTTACCGGTACTTTCGAAAATTTCGGTACCGCGGTACTTTACCGGTACTTTTGAAATTTTCGGTACCGCAGTACTTTACCGGTACTTTTAAAAGTACCGACGGTACCGTATTGCGTTACTTTCAAAAATTGAAGAAAAACGAAAACGGCAATGCAAAAAGAAAGAGAAATCGAGGGGGGAGGAAGTGGATCAAAGTGCTAAAAAAAATCAGGACAATAAATTCGTATAAACAATAAGTTCAAGGTCAAAGTAAATATATTGTGGCTGATAAAAAGAAACTGTTAACAATGTACATATTTAAAATGAGTCTTACATTGCATGAAAAGCAATACAAAATTAATAATATAAAATCTAATTAAAATATGAAGTAATGTACAATAAACTAAAAGTCACTGTTAACACCACAAAGGACGAGGTTTTCAAGTGTCCTGTCGCCTAGCCTGGTCCTTTTTCGAGTCATTACATACACAACTCCCCCTGAACGGCTCACAGTGGGCCACGAAGCCGGTTTAGGCGGACATAATTCTCCCAGGCCATACCAATGGTTATTTTGGCGTGTAACTTAGTAGTCGGGGGTTTTGCCCGTGAAACAAGCTTCGTATGTGCTACGTATGTGTTTCACATGCGAGACCTGTATGTGCACATACAAGTCGTATGTGGCTCGTATGCTTCACATACTGACACACATACTGTCAAGCATGGGAGCTCCGTATGCGAGCATACGGGGATGTACACGCGGCTGGACGCACATACGGCCACGTATGCCGTCTTCGTATGTAGGCATACGACTCGTGTACGGCCTTGTACACGCGGCTGGACGCACATACGGCCACGTATGCCGTCTTCGTATGTAGGCATACGACTCGTGTACGACCTTGTACACGCGGCTGGACGCACATACGGCCACGTATGCCGTCTTCGTATGTAGGCATACGACTCGTGTACGGCCTTGTACACGCGGCTGGACGCACATACGGCCACGTATGCCGTCTTCGTATGTAGGCATACGACTCGTGTACGACCTTGTACACGCGGCTGGACGCACATACGGCCACGTATGCCGTCTTCGTATGTAGGCATACGACTCGTGTACGACCTTGTACACGCGGCTGGACGCACATACGGCCACGTATGCCGTCTTCGTATGTAGGCATACGACTCGTGTACGGCCTTGTACACGCGGCTGGACGCACATACGGCCACGTATGCCGTCTTCGTATGTAGGCATACGACTCGTGTACGACCTTGTACACGCGGCTGGACGCACATACGGCCACGTATGCCGTCTTCGTATGTAGGCATACGACTCGTATACGACTTTGTACACGCGGCTGGACGCACATACGGCCACGTATGCCGTCTTCGTATGTAGGCATACGACTCGTGTACGACCTTGTACACGCGGCTGGACGCACATACGGCCACGTATGCCGTCTTCGTATGTAGGCATACGACTCGTGTACGACCTTGTACACGCGGCTGGACGCACATACGGCCACGTATGCCGTCTTCGTATGTAGGCATACGACTCGTGTACGACCTTGTACACGCGGCTGGACACACATACGTCCACGTTTGCCATCTTCGTATGCAGGCATACGAATCGCGTACGAACTTGTACACGCGGCTGGACGGCGCTCGCATCGCGCTCAAGATCCATTGTTGCCTTGCAGCAGTGTCTTGCTTGTGAGAGGGCGTAGGCAGAGAAATTGTTAGTTTTGGACAATGGCGTCTCATGGTCCCTATGCGTTTGAGCACGTCGCAAGAGCAAGGAGAATTATGCTCCACGAGTGCCGAGCATACGTCAATGTAAGTGGTTTCGTTATAAGTTTCTTCCATGTCGGTGGCTGCAAAAGTGACATGGATATTATTTGATTGATTTATAGACTGAGATCAGTCGTCTACAACGAAAGCTCCAGCGCCTACCGAGTCAAATAAACGAAAGCATCAGGATGCTTCGAGTAATTTTGGAGCTGCTGGAAGAGGAATGGGTTAATGAAGTGGTACCTGCCCGTTCCCGGAGACACTGTAAGCACTATGCAATACTTTCCCCCCTCCCCGCCTCCCTCCCCCCCTCTCTTTCTCACTCTAGTTTTAATTTTTAAAGAACTATAAGATGACCTGAATCTTTTTTCTTTATAAACTCTGAATTCTACTTGAATCAAACTTTTCAACACTTTCTGGGTGCAAACTTTAGAGGATAAAAATATTTTTATTCTTAAGAATACTTTTTTGGACAAAAATCATCCGAAGTTTTACCTTTATTGAACCAAAACAAATTGCAGTTGAAACATCCAATTTGTGGCCTTAACTTTTAAGCCCACATATCGATGTCAAGTTACACCCATGCATAATCCACATGCTTATTTAGGCTAGTGGCAGGGTTCAATGAGCCCCAAGAGCCTTTAAAAATGTCCAACATTGTGCAAAAATTGTACTTAGTTGACAAACACTACCTTGTCAAAGTGCAAGTAAGGTTTGGAAATAGTATTTTCCCTATTTTCATCCAATATAAAGGACCAACGTTATGCAAAGAAACTTACCATTAGAACATTTACAGGATAAAATGTTTTTCTAACAACGCAACCTATTTTCCTTTTGATCTATTCCAGTGCCTGACTTGTATGACCATCCGGAGTGGCCTCAGTCTCGTGAGAGAAATTCAAGGGAACCTCAACACCGTGAAAATTTTAGGTACAGAAACTGGCAGCAATGAAAGGAGAAGAGAAGCATGAAATGGTTTGTGTTTCGATGAGAGGAATATAATGGAAGTCTTGCTTCAGTTCGCTTCTTGTTTCTTAAAATTTGTTTCCGAAGACTAATTAAAATTATCTTGACACATGTTGATTTTTTCTCCACACACATGTAGCTACCAACAATGTAGCTGTTTGAGTCAAAGTAAAAAAAGTTTCTTTCACATGTGGTGGCCCAAGAGGCAAATCACAGTTGTTAAAATATCACAGAAAGTTTCTGTGTTGCTCTACTCCAAAAATGAGCATAAAAGAGGTTAACCTGAAGTTCAAAACACATACTTTCCGTGTTCGTTACCCAGGTATAATAAATCCATAAGTTTGTAGAATAATTTCATTTTGATAGACCTCCAGAGTTTAGAAAAATTAAAACTGACTCAATAAATTAACAGGAAATATTGTAGTTTGCAGACGACAACTATCTAGACTGCCGTCGGCCTGGCCTAGCGTGACAGCCAATGACAGCGCAGGGTTTTTGGCGGGCCGATGCGAACCGCTGTAGACGATGCTCACCCACATAATTTCCTTTCAAAACCGATTGGGTCGCTGAATACCGATTTAGTAATGGAAAGGTGATAAAAAAATGCATCTCACTTTCATTTTAACACCCCGCGTGCCTGTGCTAGCTATTAAACTGCGAAAAACATCACTTAAAAAACGACTATCCACACGGCTTTCAGGCCCAGGACCACTGCTGCGGCACTAACAGACCTTTAGGGTGAAAACAAGAAAGGTCGCTTTTTCGATTGGTCTTGAACGGCTTGCATTATTCATTCCATTTTTTGAGTGGTGGAAGATAACTTAAACAGGAACACGCTTGTAAAATTTCAAACCCATCGAGCCACGGGTTCCATGGTTATTACGCCATGCAGTTTAGGGACCGTTCATAAGCTGCGACTATGTTATCGCAAAAACAGATTTCACTAGTGCACATTTGTTGCAATTAAATTTTTCTACATGTAAGTCACATTCTTTTATGGTCCTTGACCGTGCGCCGCTTCTGTGGTAGTTCTCAAAAGGAATTCTATGGACGGTCCCTAACAGGCACGCATCAAGTCAGTATCAAGTTTGCATCAAACCCAACCTAACCACCGGCAAGTCTGTGAGTGTAAAAAAGTGTGTGGGTGGTGGTGGTGGTGGTGGTGGTGGTGGGAGATGTAGGCAGAAGAGTGGGAAAAATAATTTTTTAAAAAAAATTAAAAGGTTAAATGTTTATTCTTAAATATAAAAGCACAAAGATCGTTTATAAATGGACTTCATAGGGGTTTGGCATAACTGCAAGGTAGATTCCAATTTTTGCAACTTTTGTGACAATGGACTCAACTGGAATAACAATTAACTTGTCTGATTCTGAAACTGGCAATAAATGGCCAACAATATGCCTAGAATTTTCATGACACATTATTTGAGTATGTTCCATTTTGTACACTTGCACTAAGCAATACAATGTTGCACTGCTTGATTTTATAAAATAAAGTATTTGACCATATTGAATCTTGGCATCACTTTTAAATTGGATAATTGAATTGGCTCTCTTCACTCTTTCATCATACAGTTTAGTCGTAAAAAACTTAGACATAAGTTTAGCTCTTGAATGGAGAACATAATATCCTAAGTCTGGACAAGACTGAATAGTTCTCTCCTCGTCTAATTTTAAATTTTCTTTAGGCAAAGGCTTTCCTTCTACTTCACTGACTTTTGAACTAAACTGGTGATGATCACCATCACGAGCATTAACAATGTTGTCTAAAATAGCCACACTTTGACAAATCTTTAAATTGTTAATTAGTTCTTGGCCTAAATGTTTTGTACCATGAACAAGCCTCCCTAGGAAACCATTAAAAGACTCAAAAATAAAGGCAGCTGTGGCCCACAAAGGTCCCCAACGTTTTACAAGAAGACTCAAATGAATTAAATTATGGCAGTTGTATGTGTAACACTTTTCACCATACAATTCTTTGATATCTCTTACAAAGGATCTGAGCATAAGGTCAGCAATAACTAGATCGTTATCTGAAATACAATCCTTCAAAAGAATAAACATAGCTGCAACCAACAGAAGCCAATGTTGGAAGTATTTGTCAGGTAATCTCCCTTTAAATAGAGGTAAAGAATAAAATAAGAGAAAAGCACGAAAGTCACTGGCTTTCCAATACTTTATGTCAGCAAGTTTCCGTGGCAATCGGTTAAAAAAGTCTGGCACTTTGATAGATTTGATAAACTCATCCATTTCAGGTATTTGATCACCAAGAAACCATGGTCCCCTCTTACATAATAATATCAAAAGGAGGTATCTAACAATTCCTAATGGAACAAGGTGCATGTATTCAGCAGCCGTACAAGTACCTCTGTCCAAGTGAGGGATTTCTGATATTACTGAGTTTCCAGCAACACCCCTCTGGGGCTCTCCAACCCTTTCGGCTTCAGTACCTAACTGGTCCATACTGACACCAGTACGAAGTCGACTCATATTTTCCTGAAACAAGAAACGCCTCAACCTTCGCTCTGTACCATTACGTAAAAGAATTGGCTGCGTTCTCAGAGCTTTCTGTTCACAAATGACACAAGCATATCTGGATGCGTGCTGTTGCATCCCAATCACCTTAGCCTTAGCTGGGGCATCTGCACACAGAACTGGAGCTGAAATTCTTGAAACAATACGTTCCTTTGAAACTGGATGGACCCAAGTTACTCCCTCTTCAGATAATTTTTTTAAAGAATCTACAAATGGTTGTAAATAAACATTCATATTAGGCTCCTTCTCACCAACATAAACACCAGCTACAATCATAAATGAAGACCGGAGGCGTGGTGGAACTTCACACACAATGCCGAGTACAGGCCACAAATCAAGTGATGAACTCTCAGACATTAAAACACCATCAGTGTTCCACAACAATATCAAGTCAAAAGGATTTGGAAAATGCAATTTAACTCTTAAGTATTCACAGCCATCTAAAATATCACAAATAAAACCTGCTTTCCTGGAGGGATGATTTCGATATGAATCTATAACTGAGGCTAAGCCTCGCTGTTCAAACATATGTTTAATTTGCTCGTCAATTGGAAATAAAAAAAATTTGCTGTGGCCATTGGTATGGTCACATGAGTCATTTACAATCGTCACCAGATTTAAGCAGTCATTACAATACTCAAATGGGACCTCCTTGCAAGCTGAAGTCAAATCTTCAAGTCTTTTGAAAGCAGCTCTCCCATTTGCTGGCATTTCATTAGGTTGAGGCAACATTTTTTTAAAAGCTTTGACAGTTTGATCAAAACTATCTTTAGTCCACCTTCCATCAACAAACAACTTAAGAACAGTTAGAAGACCTTCCTCAGCACTTACAGGTGCCCCACTGTATAGAGAATAAATAGTGTCAGCACTTGCGTTACTTTGATCATCATTCGCTTGATCATCAGAAGACTGAGCATTTTCAGAAGATCTACTTGGAGAAGCTACAGAACCTGAAGTATCACTAGAGTATGATTCACTGTCACTGTCTTCACTTCCACTACCACTGTTATCATGATCACTCCCAATTTTGGAACCACTAGCATCTTCACCAGTTGAGTGGCTTTCACTTTTATGACGATTGCTGCATGAAGCTCCATTTGCCTCCAAGTTGCCAGAATTTTCTTGATTGTCAAAGACATTACTTTCTGGGCCAGCATTTGTATCATCATCACTTAAATTGGATTTGAAATTCAGTAGTTTCCTTTGCAGAGTTGTTCTGTGTAGCTGGAAGTAAAAAGAAGAACACAAGATAAGTTAAGGTTGTGTTTATCTGTCCTACCCATTAAAATAAAGATTTTTAATAGTGGATGAAAATGAGTTATATTTTATTCTTCATTCCACTTGTCCGATCAATAATATAAAGAACTAAAACTAGAAAATGATCATTACTAGCTAGTCAAGTATACAGATCTCTGGGTGTATGTTAGAAATTCATTTAAAAGTTTTTTTTATTTTATCTTTGAGTGCGAATGTGACATTCACCTTTACAAGTAGCTTTGAGTGTTCACTGCCAAGAAATTGTATGAGCCGCATTGAATTTACAATATTCTTTCACTTGAGCAAGATACAGACACAATGTAAAGAAGTATTCTAGCTCTTTAGTTTGTATCCGAGTCCAGGTTGCCCCCTTTGTCCTACCTCGCCCTTGTGCTGCTTATAGTAAAAGCACAACATATAGTGCAGTAAAATAATTACCATCGGAACTAACTTTGTTGGCATAATTTATCCTACGCTCTGTTAGAATTGCCATTAAAAATGTACACATTTGTTTGCCACTTGACGAAGTTTCACGAGACCTCAGCTCCCTCAGAACCCAATATTTTTCACTGGGTTTGTTTGTGCTGCAGCTTTAGCTCACTAGTGACTCCAAGTATTGCCTTTTCATGTCCCAAGCATGACTTGGAGGCTTCACTGGTGTCTGTGTTTATTAAATTGTTTGGTTCAAATGGTTCAACTCTACTTGGCAGTTTTATTGGGGCAAGGTGTTTGAGTGTCTGGTTGCCAGTATCATATTCATACCTATGCTTTAATCAAGAGAGAACCTGCACGAATGCCATAGAACCATAATTTGGGCATATTATCAACACAGATATGATAATATTGCAATACCAGTATTGTGTGCAATAAACAACATTGAATTTCAATTTTACTATTGCAATTAAATCAAATCTGTGTACTTGAAAAGCCCAGATTATGGTTCTATGATATTTGTGCAAGTTCTCTCTTGATTAAAGCATAGGTATGAATATGATACTGGCAACCAGACTCTCAATCACCTTGCCCCAATAAAACTGCCAAGTAGAGTTGAACCATTTGAACCAAACAATTTAATAAACACAGACACCAGTGTAGCCTCCAAGTCATGCGTGGGACATGAATAGGCAATACTTGGAGTCACTAGTGAGCTAAAGCAGCAGCACAAACAAACCCAGTGAAAAATATTGGGTTCTGAGGGAGCTGAGGTCTCGTGAAACTTCGTCAAGTGGCAAACAAATGTGAACATTTTTAATTCATTATTATAAAATTTTGTAAAAACCTGGCAATTCTAACTCAGCGTAGGATAAATTATGCCAACAAAGTTAGTTCCAATGGTAATTATTTTACTGCACTACATGTTGTGCTTTTATTATAAGCAGTACAAGGGCAAGGTAGGGCAAATGGGGCAACCTGGACTCGGATACAAACTAAAGAGCTAGAATACTTCTTTACATTGTGTCTGTATCTTGCTCAAGTGAAAGAATATTGTAAATTCAATGCGGCTCATACAATTTCTTGGCAGTGAACACTCAAAGCTTCTTGTAAAGGTGAATGTCAAATTAGCACTCATAGAAGAAATTTAAAAAGACTCTAAGTCTTTTAATAGTTGAGACTCACATGCAGACACCAAGGAAACACAGATTGGGAAAAATTAATTTAAAACAAAACATTATTAAATGTTCTTAAAAATTTACCTTGCGCTTGACACCTCTCTTTACTGGTGATTCGGTTGATGACTTGCTACTATCAGAGGATGTCGACGTCGAAGAGTGATGAGCTGGAGTAGGGGGTGAATGACAGCGTGGTGAGGTTGGTGGAGAACAACGCGCAGGTGATGACAATGGGGCCGCCGGGGAAGTTGGAGGAGATAAATGTATGTCCTCTTCTTCACCAGACATATTGGGTAGATTCTACAATAAGGCAGAAGAAATAGATGTAGACAGCAGACGACAAGGACCAGCTGAACTCTGCAGTACAGCATTAGATTGAACGCCTTGAAAGCAAGTTTATGTGAATGATAACAATTTGTCTTTGCCACCTACCTTAAATGGACAAAGTTAATTCTGGCAACGATTAGCAGGCGTCCACGCCCCTTCACTGCACATCACGGCCATAAACTTCCAATTTTACCATCAACTTGGTGACATATCAGGTTTAGCCTTCAGTGCAGTCTGCTTCTGCATTTTGTCCCAGTCTGATGAGCAGGCACTGAATGATGATGGGTAAGGTTGGCGAAGAACAACGCGCAGGTGATGACAATGGGACACCGGGGAAAGTTGAAAGTCATAGCAAAATTTCATCTTCTTCTCCACACATATTGGGTTAATTCTATAACATGAAAGAAGAAGAAATAGATGACGACAACAGACGACAAGGAGCAGCTTAACCCTGCAGTAAGGCATTAGATTGCACGCCTTGAAAGCAAGTATACGTGACTGATAACAATTTGTGTTCGCCACCTACCCAGAAAAGATAAAATTAATCCTAGCAATGATTTCCAGGTGTCCATGACCCGTCACTGCTTATCACGGCTGTAAACGTATCATTTTGCCGTCAAAGTTGGGATCTGTCAGGTAGCAGTCGGCGTGATCTGAATTTTCTTCTTGTTTTGTTCTTCTTGTGCTTCCAGAGTCCCTTGAATCCCACAAATCTGCTAGTGTTTGTGTTTTTTTTTTCTTTTCTCTATTAATAAAAACATTTGAAGATTGAAAAATTTATCACGTTTTATTGCATCATCTCGAGTAATGATCTCTTTTTCAATATTTTGGATAATCTCATACAGGTAAACAGTTGACGATTACCCGATCCACACGGCCGTGGACGCGCACGCGCAACAGGTCCGTTAGTCCGTTGCTCGAAGTGAAGTGGTATACTCGTCCCAGCGTAACCTTTCCGAAAGTAGTCCCTTGGCCGTTTTATCCCCACATTGGCACAGATTATTCGATGTTTCTCCCAAAATAAAGATTGATTCTCAAAATGAGGGCGAACGGGGCAGACAAAAATGTGTGGGCCTTTGACTGAAATAAGTTGTTATTATCGAATCTCTTCCAGTTGCTCAAACCTAATGCAGAAAGTTTGGAGCTCGGTCCAGAGGAGAAGCCGACCTCTCTCACACAGACCAAAACTTCTAAAGAATGAGACAAAATTTCAAAAAAAGAAGGTGAACGGGGCAGACAAAAATGTGTGGGCCTTTGACTGAAATAAGTTGTTATTATTGAATCTCTTCCAGTTGCTCAAACCTAATGCAGAAAGTTTGGAGCACGGTTCAGAGGAGAAGCCAACCTGGTGCATTTAAACCAAAATTTTAAAAGAATAAGCCAGAATTCCACAAAATGAACGCGAGCTGGGCATACAAAATAGTGTGGGGCTTAGACCTATGCAAGCTCCTTTTATGGAATCTCTTCCAGTCACTCAATGTAAGTGCGAAAAGAGGTTCCGAGAGACCGTTGTTTTGAAGGGCTCGGACCGGCACGTCGTCTGCCCGCGGAAATGCAAAACCCGGAATGCGTAATGATTAAGTCCGAAATTGTTCGTAATTTTTCAATGTTGTTTATTTATACGATTAATTATGATGGCAACGGTCTAGGGTTGAGTATTAGTTTTAATAAACCGCATTACCTGCGGGACTATTTTCTGTTCTCTGGCTACTGGCGGAGTGATTTAGAAAGGTTATGCTGGGACGAGCATAGCAGCTGCGTCGGCGCGTCCCCCCCACCATCGACGCGCCTTCCTGGCTAGAAGTGAAGCCCTGAAGGAGCCTTACGGGGCGCGCGGCTATCATGCCTTCACGCAAGGGACCGGAAACGGGTGGGGGGAACGCGCGGTGGGGCGAAGGCGCCGCCAAATATTTGAATGCAGAATGGAGTTGCTTTCGTTTAATTCAGACATAAATTCTTAAGTAGTCGGGGGCCATTAAAAATGTAGCGCTGCAGTACTTTTTCAATAATGTAACGTGTATAAATAAGAGGTTAAGGAGATTCCAGTGCAGGAATAAGAGTAGAAATACTGAAAAACAAGGATCAGGTTAAAAAATGTATGTTTTATTGCCTAATATTGAGGATGAAACAATACACTGTGTAGAAATGCACACATCTCGCCAACTTTCATGGTCACTCATACAATACCCAGCACTTGACTTGGCTCGCTTTTAGCCTGTAGCTTTGACAGACAACACCTTGATTTGATCAATCGGGAAAGCATTACCATTTTTGCTGGCTTTCAACTAATTCCTAAACAGAAGTCGTTTGTAAGCAGCAGAAAATTGGACAGCAGTAGGGTTGTTGTTGATTGAAACCTCCCAGTTGGCGAATCAAGCCGAAGAACATTTCTAGGGCATCTTGACTGAACTTATACTTAAGAAGATATTTTAATGACCCGTTACGCACAAGTCTGTCAAAAAGGGTCTCAAACGAACAAATGGCCAGGAGAAAGCCCCTGAAGCCTTTCTCCCGTAAAGAATTTACCACAGCTACATTTGACGGTGACTTGAGACCCTTGATGTAATGCTCTGACACCCGAAAAACCTCCTTCCATACACTGTGCATTGTCGGGCATTGGCATTTAGAATTTCAATGCCCCATAAAACCGAACTATAACCAATAACCAATGACAGTGGAGATTGGCTTCAAAATGACAAGAGGTTCTAGACATCAAGGGTGGAAAAATAATAATAATTTGGGGCACCTTTCACCAAACGGCACAAGGTGCTGGTTCTGGTGTTTTGAACGCCATAACCCAAATTGCACAAAATATCACAGTCATGAGAAAAAGCTCAAACATGACAGGATGTTTAGAACATCTGTCATTTCATCATTTAAAGCCTAACACTAACAATGTGGGTTTTAAACCCTTAAGACAAAATAAGAAATACAGCACATTAAAATGGAGAAAGCTCCAAAATGACAGGAGGTTCTAGACATCAAAAGGTGGAAAAATAATAATCATTTGGGGCACCTTTTGCAAAACGGCACAAGGTGCTGGTTCTGGTGTTTTGAACGCCATAACCCAAATTGCACAAAATATCACAGTCATGAGAAAAAGCTCAAACATGACAGGATGTTTAGAACATCTGTCATTTCATCATTTAAAGCCTAACACTAACAAAGTGGGTTTTAAACCCTTAAGACAAAATAAGAAATACAGTACATTAAAATGGAGAAAGCTCCAAAATGACAGGAGGTTCTAGACATCAAAAGGTGGAAAAATAATAATCATTTGGGGCACCTTTTGCAAAACGGCACAAGGTGCTGGTTCTGGTGTTTTGAACGCCATAACCCAAATTGCACAAAATATCACAGTCATGAGAAAAAGCTCAAACATGACAGGATGTTTAGAACATCTGTCATTTCATCATTTAAAGCCTAACACTAACAATGTGGGTTTTAAACCCTTAAGACAAAATAAGAAATACAGCACATTAAAATGGAGAAAGCTCCAAAATGACAGGAGGTTCTAGACATCAAAAGGTGGTAAAATAATAATCATTTGGGGCACCTTTTGCAAAACGGCACAAGGTGCTGGTTCTGGTGTTTTGAACGCCATAACCCAAATTGCACAAAATATCACAGTCATGAGAAAAAGCTCAAACATGACAGGATGTTTAGAACATGTCATTTCATCATTTACAGCCTAACACTAACAAAGTGGGTTTTAAACCCTTAAAACAAAATAAGAAATACAGTACATTAAAATGGAGAAAGCTCCAATATGACAGGGAGTTCTTGACCTCAAAGGTGGAAAAATAATAATCATTTGGGGCACCTTTTGCAAAACGGCAGAAGGTGCTGGTGCTTTCAACGCCATAACCCAAATTGTAAAAATTATCAGGGTCATGAGAAAAAGCTAAAACATGACAGGATGTTCAGAACATGTCACCTATCATTTAATAATGGAAATGTTAACTATGACCAAGAGAGTGGTGAGCACTAAAGGCAAAAGAGAATTAACGTACAAATGGAGAATAGCTCCAAAGTTTTAAAGATGAAGAATTGCTCCCAAGTTTCAAAGATGACAATACACCATTTTATGGTATGGATTGGTCCTTTCTGAATGCTGCTATTATTGACCCACAAGAGCAGGGCGAGCAATCCATATTAGGGCTCTGTCTTTCCAATGGAGTGGTGCGTCGATAGTGACACAGCGCACATCAAAATCAATGGCCTGAAACAGAACAAAAGGTGTATTAACCATAGGATAAGCAAAATTTCTAAATGATCCTGGTTGTTAAAAATGTATGCAAGCATAAGCTGTGGTCAAACTTATCATCTGGGTTACCTCCGTTTATCAAGGGAAGCAACAAAAGTTGCCAAGCAGGTGAAGGCTACTTGAAAGTGCCCAGGAAGCAAAAGCAGCGGTGATGACAAGAGTTAGCATGACAAGGCAAGACAGGATGGGAGGATTAAGGAAAAAGTTCCCAAGCACATGATGTCACGAGATAATTATATTCATTATCGCTCAGTCAAACACAGACACAATCACATAAGCCTTTCGTATGACATTACTGACAGCTTGGAAACAACAGGAAAACAGATTAAGAATTAATGTTATAATTAAAGATACATAACTCTACAGCCAACACAATAGGACACAAATACCAGCAATTTGGTACTAAAACAAACTGCTCTCAGGCCACACTCTATCCACTACAACCACATCAGGAACCAAATAGAAACAACTTAAGGCAATCTCTTAAACAAATAAATTCCCTCACTCCCAGACACCTCCCCTCACAGCCATATAAATAAATTCCCTCACTCCCCAGACACCTCCCCTCACAGCCATATAAAAACAATTAACATACAAAAGCAATTGCTTTGCATAAATAAAGTACAACAGTCACACCAAAACACAAGGTAATACTAGACACCAAACATGGGACAAGGTGTCCTTCACAGCCACACCGGGGAACAAATAAAGAGAATTTCTTCACATATGCGAATAACACACTCACACAAACACACACAGCACATAACCCAAAGCCAAGAAGATGTGCATCTGTTCTCAGCCACCCACCACAGCCAGAACATGAAACTAATAAAATGAAGTAAACAAAGTAACACTAAAACTCATTACATGAATGAATTGTCAGGTAAATGAGACCCAAAGGCAACTTGTAAAAAGTGAACTCTGAACATGTTAAATGAATGAATAATAAAAATAAAAAATAAATATGCTGATCAAGATAGAGCAGTTAAAAGGTCACAACAAAAATCTCAAGTGCCTTGCAACTAAAAATTACCATAATGTATAGTTTTAGAGTACAGCTGCCGCTTGCTTCCACTTTGTAGGACATCATTGTAATCCCTACAAAGTTGATGCACCCGGATATCCCAGTAGACACTGAAAATTTCCTTAATGAGACTCAGCACATGTGCATCGAGAGGGCCTAAGTCCAAGACATGGGCGTCCAAGCTCTTGAACACATGGCTTTCTATAGCCTCATTACAGGCATGAACAGCAGCTGTATTCTTCAGCTTTGTCGCCTTTAGGAGGTCTACACCCTTGTTCTGAGTACAACGTATAGCATTCTCCGCCAGGCGACAAACAACAAGTACATCGATAGTGGGATGAACCTTGGTCTGGACTGAGCTCCCTGACTTCTTCCGGATAAACCCATGAACATCACCAGATGATGATGGGTCAGACGCAATCAGAGCAGAAGCACAGTCAATGCAAGCACAGGTCCGGAAAACGTGGCGAGCCACAAACCCAGCCAGATATGAGACAATTGAGTCAACGCACATATCTCCCCAACGTTCATGGTCACTCATACGATACTCAGAGAGGTAACGGTCAAATTCCTTCCAATCGATGTCTTCCAGACCTGCACTTGACTTGGCTCGCTTTTTGCCAGTAGCTTTGACAGACAACACCTTGATTTGATCAATCGGGAAAGCATTACCATTTTTGCTGGCTTTCAACTCGTTCCTAAACAGAAGACGTTTGTAAGCAGCAGAAAATTGGACGGCAGTAGGGTTGTTGTTGAAACCTCCCAATTGCCGAATCAAGCCGAAGAACATTTCTAGGGCATCTTGACTGAACTTGTACGTTAAGAAGGTATTTTAATGACCCGTTACGCACAAGTCTGTCAAAAAGGGTCTCAAACGAACAAATGGCCAGGAGAAAGCCCCTGAAGCCTTTCTCCCGTAAAGAATTTACCACAGCTACATTTGACGGTGACTTGAGACCCTTGATGTAATGCTCTGACACCCTAAAAACCTCCTTCCACTCTGCTTCGTTAGATAAGGACATGGGAGCTTTCAACCCTTTCCCAAACCTGCTTTTCGAATTGAGCACATCAAAAAGGTTGTTGAACACTCTGATGAAGCGAGCAGTTGCACTTGCTCCCTTGAATCTGGTAAGCTTCACCGTAAATTCAAGGTATTCAAGTGCATCTGCTACACTGTTACTGAATGTCTGCGCAGCAAACTTGGTCTTCATCTTTTGTCTGCACCAGTCGACATGAACTCGACTAAGACGGTTGCCAAACTTCAGACCTATCTCAGTCTGAAGATTGAACAAGTCCACGATGTAATGCCAACTGACTTTGTTCCCATCAACATCTATCATGGAGCCCCAGATGGCAAGTGTGTTCCTGACCAACTTCAACATGTGGCAGACATCGGGAATGAATGCAATGGGCCTGGCTGTATCCTCAGGGTCAGGGAACATTGAGGTGTAATCGCACCAGTTAACATGTGTCCCAACGGATGGAGGTTGACCCGCCATACGATACAACCGGACCCGCAGATCACCCCCTAATCTGTTGACCATAGTGAAGTTGGTAGGAAGTCCATCAGCGACAAGGGCTGCTACACTCACCCCAACCTGACACAGGCGCCTGATAGCATGACGCACCAGGATCGCCAGCATCATGCCAGTCAGTCCAGAATGGAGAAAATACCCAATTGGAATCTTCAGATGGAGGGTGAGGAAGACCACCATGAAGACGCATGCATCTGTGGCATGAGGAACTGCTTTCTCAGGAACAGTCATCAGGTCACATGACACCTCATTATCCTCCTCCTCACCCTCCACCTGATCAATACCAGGTAGCTCCCCATCAAGGACCATGGGCTCATCAACAGCCTCATCATCGTCAGGCACAGCCTCCTGGGGTACACACTCCAGTTTGGAGGTAACGTCAATGATGCCCCCATAGTTGACGGGACCAATTAGTTTGTCCCCCACCATTTGGACATGCTTCCTAATCTTTACATCGTCAACCATGAGGACAACGGGCATATCCGGATTCTCCTTTGACAAGTGTTGTATGGTCTCCAGGGCCTCATCTGTGAACCCTGGCTCACCACCTACTGCCGAATACCACATTCTGATAGTCCTGTCACAAGGCAACTTATTGTTTACTTTGCTCCGCAAATAATTGTAAGCTGGTTTAGAATAAAAGTGGACAGTCAGGGCAAAGGAGCGAATCACGGGGCCATACTCTCCATTAATGTCCCCAGCAATTCGCTCAAGCAACACATACATCTCTTCTGGCACTTGGTCTTTGAAAATTCTCACAGCACACTGTGTATCCAAATTTAAACTTACTTTCTTAATGATTTCTCTCAAGGCATCGATCTCAGCATCTCTTTGTTCCAACTGAACATCTCTTTGAGCCACCTGTCGTTGCAAAATTGAAATTTTTCGCTTATCCTCCAGAATCTGGTTCTGCAAAAACTCTACCATATTCTTCAGTGCTACTTTGCGAGGCGAATCACCCTCCTCTATGTCAAGACAGACAGGCACTGGAGCACCACTCTGCAAATGCCAAATCAATTTAAATGAATATCAGTTGACACTATGCCATAAGGATAGGACAAGAGTTGTCAAAGTTGCTTCATACCAGAACCACGACTTTTGATGGGGTCTCAGAAATGTCAAGGGGGAAAGCGCCTCTCTTACGTGATGAAGGAGGAGAGGAGGGCAGGGGAAAAGGGCTGCTTCCATTGAGTTCGGTGGAGTTGCCTCCAGATGGAAAAGAACTTATTGATGGTGAAGACTGCTGCAGACAAAAACAAATATGTGATACTGAAGGGGATATTGTGCCAATCCAAAAAAATGTGACAGCACTCACACAAACATTAGATGCTGGAGTGCGAGGGGTAATGGGTGGAGTAAGTGGCATATCCATCTTAGCAGCAGCAGATAATTCACTTGGCAAAAACAGGGAATCAGAAGATGCTGGAGGTGTCCTCCGCATCTGCAGACAAAATGGGAAAGTTTAGTGATGGTGTTCAGTACAACACTCAAAGGGAAATAACTCTCAGGGACTAAATGTACCTTCATTTGCTGGTTGAGGGTGCTCGGAATTATGTTCTCAATTCTTCGCAACACTGATACACCTGCTCTACGACTAACAGGAGTTTTGCAGCTTTGCGTAGACTGGTATCATGAAAAACAATACAATGGCAGGCCAGTGATAAAAACAGCTTCAAAGTAATACCTTCAAACCAATTAACAAAAAACAGAAGTACCTTACCTCTACACTGTTCTCTTGATGTTGCTGCTGCGGAGAGGAAGATGACTCAACAAGGACAGGGCTTTCACCATCAGCGCTAACCTTCTTCTTACGGTACACGTAAACATTACAATTTGGAAGATGCTTTGATATGATCTGCAACAAACCGTTTGCAATGTAAAAACAGAAAAATCACAATTCTGAACAAGCGTCAAGCTTATAACTGCAACTCACAGTGGAGGCTGGCGGTAAGTTGTGGAGCAGGATTTGGAATAGCACCAGGGAGTAGCAATAGCTTCTTTTTACTTGAAGGATTTTGCTAAAAATCTTTCGGCTCAAAGTGCAGGGTGCAAATTCTGGCACCTTTGGGTGGGACCCAATCGGATCCCTTTCCTGTCACCGCTTCCACCCACTTCGGCCTCCTCTCATCATTCCGAAATCTGAAAATAAGAAAGCACAAACGAATGAAGCCATGATCTGAGCTGCGAGTTTCATTCATTCACTAAAACACAAAGCGGCATAACCCCACTTCCATTGATAAACAAGCACAACTCACGTCACAAGTGCCACCCCCTCTGGAAGATTAGCGTAGGTAGTAGTACAGCCCCTCACAGCGCACCCGCAGCGACTTTTCATGATGTAAAAGTTAGAAATATCATATACTCTTGAAAACTGACGCTGGAGCACAAAACGCGCGCGACGCTTGGCTTGGCGGTGGCTTGGTGTTTATTCCAACATGGCTGCGCGTCGACTTCCGGCGAGTTGCGTGAAGCAGAGACGGGCAAAATCCGACTCCGTTTCAACTCCAGACCGGGCGAGCGGACGGGGGGGAGGAGGGGGGAGCGAGCACGGGCTGCTAGCAGCTCCCTTGTTGCTCGTTTTGGCGCCTTTTAGCCCTCTGAGTGCACCTGCATAGGCTTCTTTCTAGAACTCTCCAGTCTGAACTTGATCAACTAGTTTCAATAGAAGTTAACTTTTTTTCTGGATTTCATCTTCTGTGCATCATGTCCGATCATGTGGAAAACACTGAGTGGGTAGTAATACACTGCAGTGATGATGATTCACATGTACTCGTCAAAATAGAAGATGTGATCTACGTGGGGGAGCTCAATTGTGATGACAAAGTGAAATTCTATTACTTGAATGAAAATAATAAAAGAAAGCAGTACGAAGGCTTTGTCAGAGGCATTTCATGTAAGTGCAGTTTCTGTTTCATGTTGAGTCAAGCTTCAGATAGCCTACACCGACTTAGGTTATGGTTGCTTGGTTTGGGACAGAGTTGCTGTGTTGTTTCGAGTCTTCGTCCATCGTTTGAGACAATGTTAAACGTAGGTTTTTTTTTATGTTCTAGATGACTACAGAAAGATGGTAAAGCTGCAAGATCAACTTAACTTATCGACTAGACCCAAGAGGGAACTTTCATTTCATGAGGAACTACCAAGACGGGCAAAGGTTGCTTGCAATAACACTATAATCAAGAAAGAAAAGATGGAAGGCAATAAGAACAATGCTTCTCAATTGAAATCTGAGCAGGTAATTTGTTGTATTGTGCACACTACAAGTAAAACTCTGTACTTTAAAGTGTGCCAGCTCTTTACATCATATTGGACACTTTAATCTTGTCTTCCTTTGTGAAAGAAAAGATTGAGACGACTGTGATTTGGTGGAGAGATGAGACACTTTAATCAACAGTTCAACTTGTAAATTTTATATTTAAATTTATAGTATTGTAGTGAGGTTAAGATTTGATTGTGTCATGGCTGAAGGTCTGCCTTTCCTTGTTTCAGCCAAGTAAGCGGAAGCGAGTGGACTTATCCAACTCTTCATCTGGCAGCAAGGCCAAGGTATGGTCTCTTTGCCATTTTGCACTGTGGTGCCTTCGAATATTTGAATCTCAAAATATATTATTGTTTCATTGCAGAGTGTTACAGCCAAGACGCCTTCTAGCAGCTCTACTGACTTAAAGAACTCTGATGATGACGATGCTTCAGTTTCCAGTTTGTCCTCAGGCGAACAATCAGTGTTGATTAAAGTATGATATAGATATGATTTCCTCTTTTCTTTTCTTGTGAGGGAGTCACAATTATTATGTGTGTGCATTTCCTTTCTAGTTATCTCAGAAACAGAAGAGGGCAGAGGAACGCAAATTGTCACAGCTCTCAGCTTATGCTAGGTCTTCTAAAGGTAAACTGTTTTTTTTGTACATTATCAGCATTTAGTTTATTTCATAATATTGGTTTTGTTTTCAATCCTTTAGGGGCCATTGAGATTCAAGGAATGAAGCAAGCCTTAGGAGAGAGTAGCAAATCAACACAGAAGGTTGAGACATCCTCTGAGCCTACAGGTGAGACTAGTACCGTCAATGGCATTAGCTGCATTCAATTCTTTTTTTTATAAATACTTTTATCGTTAATCTTTTAGATGACAATGATTCAGACTCTTCGGGAAAAGTAGAGATTCCCCCCAAAACAGTTAAGAAAACTGACGGCAATGATTCTGACTCTTCGGTAGAAGTTCAGATTAAGAAAAAAGTTAAGAAAATTGATGGCAATGATTCTGACTCTTCAGTAGAAGTGGAGATTCCAAAGAAACAAGTTGGCGCGAACAAGAAAAATGTAGGGCAAACTGATAAGCCCCTGGGGGCCCAAACCTCATCGGTTTCAGGTAATAAACCTAACATAATTCTGGCATTGCGTTTTAACTATTGATCACAGTTAACGGATGATAATTGAAACATTTGGTTTGCAGTGGAAGTGAAGCAAGTGGCTGTCAAGGCCAAGCGTCAGCAGAAAGAAGTAAGGAAGATTATCTTTAGTGGAGAGACGCTGGCTTACAGTGTTTCTAAAGAGGTAATTTCAGTCTGCAGTATTGAAACCTTATTAAACTGCTGATTTTCGTTGAATATATATTCTAATTATTTATTTATATTATTCACAGAATGCTCGATTGGTTGATTCATACGATGTCTATATCCCAGAGAAAGATTTGAAACGGATAAGAAGCACTTGTGGGTCCAGCTCAGTCCTAACAAGGCGTCTTACAAGGAAGATATTCACTACCGAAGCGAGGGAGAACTGCAGTGTGAGTGGCAAACCATCTATGACCAAGGGGCAAACCATGCCCGAAGTTCGAACTGCTCTTGACCAAGATGGTGTCAACGCTATCATTGGTAATTATTATGAAATGGATTTGACTTATTTATGATGCTCATTCTTAAGAACTTACAAAATTTCATACCTTTTCAGAGTTTGTGAGAAACAGGGCTGAGAAAAAGAAATGGCCCACTCCATCTGACGTGTCCATAAAACAGTGGATGGCTAATGTTTTATGTGAAGAGAGAAAGTCAAGACAGCTGGAACAGGAAGCTCAAGAAGAGGAGGAGAGAGCGAAGAAGAAGGCAGCAGAAGAGAAGAAGGCAGCAGAAGAGAAGAAGGCAGCAGAAGAGAAGAAGGCAGCACAGACTGAAACAACTGATGTTGGTGATCAAAACCAACGTGAAGCATAATGTGATTATTTGGGCTTTGTTCCAAGTGTGTATTGTTCTCTTGATTGTGTTCTAAGTCAAGTTAGTTCAACTGAAGTATTATTAAGGATTTGCATTGCCAAAATGTTGGATTTTATTTAAGTTTCTATTGATCTCTGTGTTCCAAGTCAAGTTTGTTCAACTTGACTATTATTTAGTATTACCATTGCCAAAGTTCTGCTCAAGTCAGAATAATTTTGAGGGACATACTGAGTTTGTTCATTCGTTTTATGTTTTTTGATGTTTCATTTTATATTTTTGGAATATTTAGTATTATTATTGCCAAAGTTCTGCTCAAGTCAGAATAGTTTTAAGGGAAGTACTGAGTTTGTTCGTTTGTTTAATGTTCTTTGATGTTTCATTTTATATCATTTTTGGAATTTCAACATACCTTGAGGTACTCTGCGTATGTATTTATGTAAAATATTCAAATATTTTATTTTTAAATACATAAGAAAGATTGTTCTGAAGGCTGTATTGTTTTTATTTGGTTAATGTTCTGATTCATTTTGTTTGCATTTTGATGTCCATTATGAGTTGGCTGAGCGTTTGGTGTTACCTTCCTGTGTTTTCCCGCTTCAATTCTGAGAGCTCTCAAGTAGTGTACCCTTCTGTTTGCAGACGTTAGCGCCTGCGGGTCGAGGGAAAGCATGCCTGTCACACACTTAAGTTGGGCGGGCTTGCCTACCCTAGATCTCACAGGCGCTCCGCCGTGGCAAACTGGTTGCCTACTTGAGGTCGCTCAGCCGGCGTTTGTTGCCGGATGTAAGCGTCAAAACGCGGAGGTTAATTCTAGGTCCCGCCCTGCTCATTTTTTACTCCATCCACATCCACTTTGCGTTGTGAAACACATACACTTTGCATATGAGCAAGCACATTCCACGCATGCTAAGCGCATATGGACTGTATACCGTGGTGCCAACTCCATCCACATACACTTCGCATGTTGAAACACATACATTATTGAGCATACGAGAAAGCCCATTCTATGCATGCAGAGCTCATACGGATCGTATACGGTGGCGCATACGACTCACATGCATGGTGTATGCGTGTGCTTTGGATGGCCACCGCGAGCCACATATGGATCGTATTGTATAGTACATTCCATCCACATGTGGTCGGTATGCGAAGTGTATGTCGTTGCGGCCACTTACGACTTCACATACAGTGAATTTGAGACACATGCAGACCACATACAGTTACTTTGAGACACATGCGGTTCACATACGATGCATGTATGGCCGAATTCCCATCAAACACACATACGGACCGCATCAAAATTGTATTTGTGCATAACATAGGATCCATATACAGCCATTCGTATAGAGCTTTGCATACAGACATGGTTTCACGGGTGAGGGGCGGGGAATCCGTTTCACACAATATCTGACCCCCCAGTGTGAAATTTGACATTTGGCGTCTGTGTACAAGGAAGGAGTTGAGCTAGAGTAACCAGATTTGGAGGGTACTTCAGGAGTACCGTCCAAACAAATAATCCGGTGGTGCAAATCCCGTCCGGGTCGCACAAGGGCTGCTGCAGGTGCATCATGGTTTACATGAGCGGGAGGGGAATTTCCGCCATTATTGGTGCTAGCAGGGCACATAGGGTATTTTTGGAATCGGGGCGACGAGACAAGATGAATGGACCTGGTCCCGACCCCATCGGCCGCTTTTACAAGTTGGCCAGATCAGGATCTTCAAAATAGGGGGTCGACCGACTAAAAACAATTATTGCAGATTTCGATTGGTCCCAGCAAGACCTTTTCAATGAGGGGTCGGAAAGGGGGTCCAGGAGCCCGACTTCGTCTATTAGTCACATCAGGATCTTGAAAAAAAGGGGTCGACCGACTGAAAATTTTGACTTAAGTTTTCGATAGGTCTTGGCAAGACCTCTTCAACGAGGGGTCGGAAGGGGGGTCCAGGAGCCCGCCTTCATGAGTTATGGGAAAAAGTGCGACGGACTCGTTTTGCGCTCCTGCTGTGCCTCTATTGCAAGGAGTTGCAGTAGCATGGCAAATATGGGTATTTTCGGAATGAGGGCGAAGAGACAAATGAAATGGGCATATTCTGAGGACAGTTGGAGTAAAAAGTGTAAGGACTATTGCATATTGTGAATAGAAGGGCGGGCCTAAGTCACGATGGTACATCGATAACTTTGCTTTACCCGCTCACGGGGTGTGTGATGCGAGCGGGCCGAAGGCCCGAGGAAAGGCCGCCGGCAGGCCAAGCTGGGCCGGCCCCCTGTCGAACCGAGTTGCCGGCGCAGCGAAGCGGAGCTGGCAACTCGGTTCGACGGAAGGGCGGGCCCTAGCTTGTTCGCCTTTTAGGCGATGTTTAGGAGACACTACAACTCGAAGTGGCAGGTACACTGTTAAGAGAAGTCGTCATTTTACAACAGTAATCCCAACAATTAGTGTTGTAATATTACAAATAATAATTCGTAGAATAACTACAAGATTCATGAAACGAACAATCGTCATATTTTCGACAAACTTTACTCATAAATTTAGGAATAAATTCGTAATTTTACGATGAAATCTTAATGTTACTCACGAAAGATCGTAGTTTTACTGATAAAATCGTTATCTTACGACTATTCTCGTTACATCACGCGTAAACTTGTTTTTTTTACAAATAAAGCTTATTTTTTATGAATAGTTGCCTGTTAAGGGGGGAGACTCGTCATTCTCCTTCAAAAAATCAGATTTTTGTTTTTGAGTTTTTTGAATTCTTTGTGTCAAACCCTTGAATTGGGTGGCTGGCTGGTTTTGAAATTCGAAACCGTTTGGCCAAAGGACGACATTTTGTAATTTATTTTCCACAGGATAGGTTAGACCGTTCAAACTTTGAAGCCATTTTACTCAATTGCAATATTTTGGGTCTTGCGCGCACGATTTAAGCCAGACCGTTGATTGTATTGACTTCATAATTTTTCCAATGTTTCACCTCCATAAGGCCGTCAGTCTGAACTAGGATATCTTCAATCGGACAAGCGGAAGTGGCCGAAAACGGTTATTGAAATGCTTAAATTTGAATGCTTTCTTTCGTACACCTTAAAATGTAAGTTTCAGGCACTTAGGAACCACCTATTTCAATTATTCTAGTTCAATCTAGAGTGCCGGGAGTCCTTTTGAAGGAGCAACAAAGACATTTATGATATGATGCCGCATTCTCCAAAAATCATGCGCGCAGTGAATTTTCGTCGTATTTTCGAGGTTTGGCAGAAAGATTACAGATCCTAGGTTATGAGGCCTAGAGTCAAACTTTTTTTCCAAAATGAACCTTAAAAAACCAGCTTTTTATTGGAAAACCCCACTGACCCTAAAATCTATTGGAAATAGTTTTCATGTAAGCCTGAAATTTGCTAAAATTATGGTGTTAAAGACGAGTCTCCCCCCTTAAATCTGTACCACGAACTGCACTGTTTTTTTACAAAGAAAATTGTAAATTGACAAATTGTTCATCAATTTACAAACTGCTTCTTAAATTTACTGGCGAAATCGTTAATTTACAAGTATGATTTTAAGAGCAAGTCCGAAAAAATGCGTTTTCGTCCGTTGTTTCCTTACTATATAGGAAGAAAAAATGCCTGAAACGACCAAAATTTGAGGATTAAGTTTGTAAGTTTAAGAATATTTTTGTAAATTGACGAAAAAAAGATGGATGATATCAGATCGTTTTTGAAATTTACGAGCAGTTCGTGGTACAGATTTTACAGACAACTAATCGTAATTTCACAAAATAATCCCGAACAGTGTAGGGGCAGCTAAATTCTTTTGGGTTTTGTTCCTTGACATGTTGGCTTCCGCAAGGACTGAAGGAGGCCGTTAAACAACGTTAAACAAAAAAGTGCCGCCTCTACAAAGGTTTAATTTTGACAATTTGGTCAAAGTGTTGTAAACAAGAAGCCGGACACCACAAAAATCGTCCAAAATCAGATGTAAATGTACCTTAATTTTCGTAAAGAAACGCGGTGTCAATGAAAAGTATGACGGACAAAAATTAATAAGTGTTTTTAGCGTTTGAAATCATGCAAATTTACTGCACCAAAGTAGCACAAATCGTTTGGCGCGTGTTTGACCACCTGTATGTTGGCAAAAACGTGTCCCTGTGTTGAATTTCTGTCCAATCCCGGGTTGTTTGGAGTATTGGAAAGAGATGTCATGAAAAAGAACTTAAAGATTTGAGAGTTGAAAAAAATGGAATTATGTCCGCCTAAACCGGCTTTGTGGCCCACTGTGCGGCTCAGCCAATCTGGCTGAGATTTTGCAGGGTCATTTGGTATGTCCTTGGCTCGCCACACACCGAAATTCAGCTTTCTATCTTAACCCATTCGGTCATAGTAGTCAAAAAATACTTCAAAACGGCAGAAAATAAGACAACTTTTGAGGTACTTTCAACTTTTTGTCAAGTTTCGTGTCGTTTCTTATGTTTTTGAGGCTGCTGATGAAAATAGAACCTATTCGGACATGTTATTCGCACGCAATATGTTATTCGCCCTCCACGTTTTATTCGCACTCAACAGGTTACGGCGCATAAGCAATCAACAAAAGCATGACAACAAAAACAGTGAACATGGCTACTCCTATGAGACAAACGAAACATTCAAATCGTTACTTTTGTGTGCATTTCGTCTCGCCACGGTCAACGATAGTGTGTGTCTGCCATGTTTTATCGTGTCGCAGTACTTTCGAAAGGTCTGAGTGCTCTCGGGCCATTTCAGAACAATTTAAGTGTTGTTCTGAGGATGACTTTGAAGAGGGAGCGGCTTGATGTGGCAGGGCCAGGCTATAGGGCTCTGAGGCTAGCTCAAGTCTTCCTGATTTGAGAATGGACTGAGACCCCTTGCTGTGTCAACCCCTTATCCAGAGAGAGTGACTCAGTGATATTCAGCTTTTTGTGTTGATGTGAGTACCATTTTCCAATCGTCTCAGGAATCGCTGGCCAAACCAAAGCGTTTCAATAGTTGGCCAGCGGCATTGGCACGTAACCTGAAAATACAGATGCAGGTCTTGTATTTTCCTGGTCCAGTTCTACTTTTCATAGTATAATTGCTGTGATTTGAACTGGGGATCCTAAGCACTGAAAACTATTGTATGCACGTTTATTTTTCTGTGAACGGTAACGTACTGAGTTGCGCCCTTAAGGGAGGACCCTGGTGAAAAAATGGCCAAAACTGCCAAACATAGTATTTTTAAAGTTCATAGATAAAAAAAAGTGCATAGAAGGTTCCAGATTCAACAGGTTGAACACCTTTAAACTATGTGGGTAGTTCCTTCATCATTTTGAAAGTATTAACATTGAGATCAGTTGTCGTTGGCTTATATGCTCAACTGGCGTACAGGACATGAGCCCCGTCCCGTTTGAGCCCCGATGGTCTGAGCCCCGACCTGAGCCCGGGTTGAGCCCCGACTTGAACCCCCACTCAAGCCCCAATTTTCAGAGCCCGGATTCAGCCCCGACCTGAGCCCCGTTTGAGCCCCATTTGAGCCCCGCGACCTGAAATCACGCAATTTTGCATGATTTATTGCCACGGGGCTCAAATGGGGCTCAAACAGGGCTCAGGTCGGGGCTCAATCCGGGCTCTGAAAATTGGGGCTTGGGTCGGGGCTCAAGTCGGGGCTCAACCCGGGCTCAGGTCAGGGCTCAGACCATCGGGGCTCAAACGGGACGGGGCTCATGTCCTGTATGCCGCTCAGCTTCACAGCTTTGCTCAGTCGACAAAAAATTGTGTCGTAGAAAGAATCCCTGCGTTCCTGGTTGACACCTACATGAGTCGTCTTGCATGGACTCTATTCATTGATGACTTGTCGACAAATTTTAGAGACAGAATCTTGATATCAATCCTACTTTTTTCTACAAACACCTAAAAGTTTGAAAAAAGGCAAAAAATTCACTTTTTTTAAACATTAAAATTTGAAAATTCATATCTTAGGACAAAAGTTGAAATTGAAAATTCCGTCACTTAAATCTCTGCTATACATCTTTAGGATAGCCCAAAATAATTTTCAAGACTTTCCGTTCGAATGAAAGACGCAGGAAGATTTTTCCCCAACGCTCTAAATAACACTAAAAAGCCACTTTTCTCAGAGACCGTACAACATTCTGGATTGAATTTTGTTTTGGGAACTCACCATAATGAACCTAACAACTAAGCAAAGTTTCAACTTTCTGGGATTATTTTAAAGCCTACTTGAAAGTTTCACCAGCGTCCCCCCTTTAAACTTCAGCTTCAGCCTCCCGCTTCAACCATGAAACAATTTCCAATTCTTTTTTTTAACATGTGCAGGAAGGCAGCTGCAGATACAAGCAAGAACACAGTGCAGGCACGCTCTCTCGTTACGTCGAGGTCAAGCAGACTGAGGAAGCTTTGCGCGAAGCGGTGTCTTCTGTGGGCCCCGTGGCCACTCTTTTCGACGCCACCCACTGGAGCATTCAGCACTACCAGAGCGGTACGTATCAACTGGGCATTGCGCCTCTGCTAGAAACCGGTACCCATTTCATCATCGGAACGACTCGCGGAGGAAGTTACTCCCACACAACGTATTTCACGTTGGTAACGAGTCCTGGTTTTCTTAAGAAGTCCCTGGAATTCGCTTATGTCCTTCTGCAAATATGAGGAACCGTCTAAGCCTGATATAGGCCTAACACGTATTTCTCTGCTAGTATTTCAGTCTAGGAACTTACTAGCCTGCCAGCACCTTCAACTAACATCTCGCTTCTGTACCGTTTTTTTAAATCACTATTTCAATAGTATTGCACTTACTTCGCTTTCAATAGATCTTATCTGATCGTTTCCGTACAAAGAATCTTATCAGAAAGGCATGTGACTTACTTTAAGTTGGGTTATTGGCGACGGGTAAGAGAGGAGGCGTAACATTTTACACGCACACGGCATCTTCCACCTTAATTTGTTTAAATAAGATGACGAATTGTTAAGATTCTTAGTTCAAATTTTCAAATTTAGTGAAATTTGCTTGAGTTGCAGATTAGTTTATACGGAAAGGGCCAGATCGACGCCTCCTAATAGAATAATCCTAACTGTCAGTGCTGATCCAAGACAATCCTAACTGTCAGCGCAGATTGTACGACGTAAAAAGCTATTTCTTATAACTTTCTGTGACGCCAACATGCTGCTTCAAATTACTTGGCAATGGACTTGTTAAAAAGTATAAACCTTGCATACAAACGTGGAGATTGTTTTTCATTGATATCATGATTCGCTGCTTTGGACTGAAGAGAGCTAATGAGCAGTTTTCGCCTCCTCTGAAACCTCTGAGCAGTTAGGATTGTCTTGGATCAACACTGACAGTGTGGATTATTCTTTAAGGAGGCGTCGATATAAGATGTTTGGACTAGAACACCTCGAGTATGTTCCGCTTCGAATGGAGCGGAGCGGAACAGAGTAAGTACTCCTCCGCGCAAACCACACCTCGACTGTCTGTTTCTTCCCTTTCAAGGCATTTACTACGAGCCCGCATGCAGTTCCAATGTGAACCATGCCGTGCTTATCGTGGGCTACGGCAGCGACGACGATGGCCAGGACTACTGGATTGCGAAGAACTCGTGGGGCGCCGCCTGGGGCGACCAAGGATACTTCAAGACCGCCCGCAATAGGGGGAACCACTGCGCGGTCGCCAGTTGGGCCAGTTACCCCGTTGTCTGAAATTAGATGTGACTGTACGGACGCTGCCAACACCAACCATGCCAATTGTGATATTAGTTTTAATTTATTTCTCAATAAGATTCTCACTTAAAATAAAGTCTGGTTAATTGAACCTGTTAAGCCCGTTCCGTAGTATTTAAAGATCCCTACTGTTTGAAGTGCCGACTGCAGGACGAGTACAGTCGGATGCAATGCTGAATGTGAATTTTTGTGTCCCAAAACTGTCCTTGGTCTTATCTTCACCAAATTTGGTATCACTTTGGGTTGCCTTTAGAGCCACGCGGTGGTAGCAAATTTAATCCGAGCCCCAACAAGAGCGCTGCGATTGCACTGTGAAAATTTGTTGTCACTTATGACCAAAACGTGCATGATATTTTCATCACTCTCAAATGATGACAATCTCTTCACAAATTGGTGACATTTTTATCAAAGCTACTATACTCATACTCACTGCATGAGCGTGACAACAATGCCATCAATTGTTTTGATGACATCGTTGTAAGGAAAATTAGCCTTGAAATTGTCATCAAGTGACGACTCAAATTTGCAGAGTGGGGCCTAATGTTCCGCCATGCTCACTAAACTCTTGTGGACTTTTTAAGGGGGCACACCAGTGAAAATGTAGAGGTTTTGAAAAACGATCATTCTGAGAAAAGTAACCTATGTACTTGATTGATATTTTTTTCGTGGCTCAAAATTATATCAAAGAAAAAAAAATCAGTATGGGAGGGTGGGGTGGCGATTGCAAGACGCACTTCCAGTGCACTTCAGTTTTCTGCGACCTTGTCTCACTCCTGCCACGATTCCGCCTCTCTGGATTGAGCCTCGAGCACGGGATTTGAAAATTTCTCAACAGGACCCATGTGGCTATGGTCTGAACCACGGGCATGCAAAAAGAATGATTTTGAATTTGTTTTTTCATAAGGCAAAAATAGAAACAAATTTTTTAACCTAATTTTTTGCGCTTTCATGGCAGCAGCTCACGTCCTATTTATGGGATGGCCATATCCGAGGTTCAGACCATAGACGCAAGTTTAACGAACATTTTGCCGCAAACCACATTAATTTATCTCAACTTTTGCGCCCGTGAGAGTGGCACATAGGTACAAAAAAGGTGTTTTGAGAAAAAGCCCTTTTAGTAGAAACATAGATTTGACGTGTTTTTTCGGATTATAAATGCGCCTTTTGAAGTATTTCAGTTCGTTTTGCGCCAAAATGACCCTCTTTTTAACTGCGTTTGGGTGGTTCAAGGGTTTTGTAATTAAACTTTAAGTGAAAGACCTGAACGTTCACAATTGGTCTAAAATATCCAAAAATAATAACCCTTTTAGCAACTTCAAAAATGTGCACAAGCCAAAGTAATTGGAATTTTGGGGTGGGGTTTGCGGCATTCGACTCGGGATGAATAGCAGAAAAATAAGATAAAATAAAAAAGAAGGCAAAAATTTGACGATTTTCACTGGTGTGCCCCCTTAAATGGACAATCGTGCACGATTATGCAGTTTTTAATGCATAAATAATGCATACACAAATACGCGTGGTGTGTATGAAATTACGCAACACTGTACATTTTATGCATCTTCCTGCTTAAAATGTACACAGTGATGCACAATATTATACACACACCTTACGTACATATCTGTGCATGCATAGACCACAATAATTAAGTATGAGGATGGATGGAGTGCTGCAACTGGGGGTATTTGTGGAATCGCGGCAAGGAGTCAAAGTCAGCGGTGCCAGTTTAGAAGCTAGTCGGAGACGTTTGGGCCCTGATCTGAACGGGTGGGGTCACGGCCGAAATTTCATATTCGAGTTTTACAGTTTCATGGGTTTGCGAGGGTACACTTACTAATGGCAAGGATGACATTCGCGTCGAGCCCGTTGCGTTCGAATACGGCCCAAACCAAGGGCGGATCCAGGGACGGGTTTCAGGGGGGGGGCGATGTCGCGAAAGTTGCCTACCTACAGGGGTAATGTGCGACTTTTTGCCTACCTTCCAGGCGGCTTCGCCGCCTTAAGGGTTGGATCCGCGCCTGGCCCAAACACGTTTTTCAAGTTAGACATGGACAAAGGCTTGAAGCGGAAGAAAATGCCCTCTCCCCATCGAAACTTTGGTGTTCGCCTCCTCCACCAGACACTACAAATCCAAAGGTCAGACTTTACGCCTCTGGAGAGGCGAGACAAAAAGTCTCGCCACATTTTGGCGATACTTTCATGTCTCGCCACAATATGGTCAGATTCAAATGTCTCGCCAATTTATGGCGAGACTTTTTTGTCTCGCCAAAATATGACCCAAAATTATTGAATAGAGAATAGGCAATGCATGGATTCATGGCAAAATACATAAACTACTGCATTATTCACAAAATTCATAAGAAAACATTTCTGATCACCACTGATAGTTGTTTGACCCACTGGGGACTCTCAAGAGTAACGCTGTTTGTTTCGCTCATAAACCAAGAGGTGCGTCTTCACATAACAGGGCCGCTCACATTCAGTTTCATTGAAATCAGATTGTACTCACAATAATCACAGTAGCACTGTGGCTATGAAGAAATTTGCAGGCAGGTTGAGAGTTGATTCATCCAATAAAGATTGTCTACAAACATGTAGCTTTGAGTACTGTACAACTTAGCCCAGAGAACAGATGGTGCAGACTGTTGATGAACTTAACATTTTGACAGTTCTCCTTTTTCACACGCAGTTTGACAATAGCTCGAACGATTAAAAGACATCTTCGCAAACAGATAACCCAGTTGGCAACAGTCGTCATTGCTCGAAACTAGGAAAAACTAAATTATATCGTTGCAAGTCAAACAATCGCTCAGAGGCTGGCAGCCATTTTAGAGGCTATGTTTTTGTTTTTGGACAGAAGAGGTTATGGGCAGTTATGGGCGTGACGATTTAGATTCAGATTCGGGTTGGGAAATTATACGCATGACCAAACCAGTATTCGCAGTCACATCCTCACATCTCGTAAACAAAAGTAACATGAGGAAATGGCCGCTGGTTATCATGTTTTCCTCCCGACTTTGCATCAATAAAATTAAGTTTTTTCTAGTTTGGAGCGATGACGACTGTTGCCAACTGGGTTATCTGTTCGCGAAGATGTCTTTTTATCGTTCGAGCTATTGTCAAACTGCGTGTGGAAAAGGATAATTGTCAAAATGTTTAGTTCATCAACAGTCTACACCATCTGTGCTCTGGACCAAGTTGTACAGTACTCACAGCTACATGTTTGTACACAATCTTTATTGGATGAATCAACTCTCAACCTGCCTGCAAATTTCTTCATAGCCACAGTGCTACTGTGATTATTGTGAGTACAATCTGATTTCAATGAAACTGAATGTGAGCGGCCCTGTTATGTGAAGACGCACCTCTTGGTTTATGAGCGAAACAAACAGCGTTACTCTTGAGAGTCCCCAGTGGGTCAAACAACTATCAGTGGTGATCAGAAATGATTTCTCGTGAATTTTGTGAATAATGCAGTAGTTTATGTATTTTGCTATGAATCCATGCATTGCCTACCCTATTTAAATAATTTTGGGCCATATTTTGGCGAGACAAAAAAGTCTCGCCATAAATTGGCGAGACATTTGAATCTGACCATATTGTGGCGAGACATGAAAGTATCGCCAAAATGTGGCGAGACTTTTTGTCTCGCCACATTTTGGCGTAATGTCTTTCCATTCAGTTTGCAGTGAAGTGCGCTAGCGCGGCGACTCTCGATTGTTCTCGAGCTCTCGCTGGAGTCTTTGTGAGTGCCTGTAAAGTAAGTCCAGTGCACTCTCAGACTCGTATTGACTTTTTTCTCTCCATTATTGGCATTTTTTTCCTTTGTTTACGTAGTTTTTTTTTAAGCAGCAATAATATGTAGTATTTCCTTTGTAACCATGTACAATATTGTTCACTATAAAGACGAAATTGTCATCAATTATTGACTATTTTTTAAGTCAATTGGGTATTGACTCTTTGTCAATACCAAATTGACTTTATGTCAATATAACGATCAAAATCCTACATAAATATTGAGCGAATAGTACTTCTTATTGCTGTGTAAAATACTCTTTAACAAAGGCCAAAAAGTCAATATTAGTCTGAGAGTGTGAAGTCAGCAATAAACAGTCTTGGAGACAATTCGTGTCTGTAGTAAGGTATCAACCACAATCCCTTGTTCATGGAGCCATCCACAGTGCATGTGAAGTGCGAGCACTAAAGCTCCGTTTAAATTCTGTTCCGCGCTCTCAGACTGTTATTGACTCTTTGTCCTTTGTTAAAAAGTATTTTACACAGCAATAAACAGTACTATTTCCTGAATATTTATGTAGGATTTTGTTCGTTATACTGACATAAAGTCAATGTGCTATTGACAAAGACTCAATACGCCATTGACTAAAAATCTCATTCAACGAACGTTAATGAAAGCAGAGGATACTCGTTTGGTTTTCTTCTACGGGGTCGTATGGGCTCATTCCAAAGATATTATTTAAAATCTCATTCAACGAACGTTAATGAAAGCAGATGATACTCGTTTAGTTTTCTACTACGGGGTAGTATGGGCTCATTCCAAAGATAGTATTTAAAAACTGAGTCCTTTGTGCCGTGGCCTGCACCGCCGCGCCGTGCCCGTTGGATTGCGAGCACCCGGTGCCTCTGCGCTGGGGAGGGATTGTCAATGCTGCGCGCAGGCCGTCGCGCGCGAGGAGGGGGTGCCATTGTCGAATTCCGCGCAGGCTGCGCCTCATTGCCAGCCAGCCAGCCACACGCACCAGCCCGCCCCGGTCGCCAGCCCCTATTATATTGTTAGGATACGCGCTTGGTTTCTGGACTCGAGAGTAAAAGCACGCTGACACCTTCATTTGTGTATAGTAGTTTTAATTATGTTTCAAGTGTAAAGGTATCATCTGCTAAAAATAGTCAGTTATTGATGACAATTAAGTTTTTATAGTGAGCAAAATCGTACATGGTAACAAAGGAAATACTACATATTATTGCTGCTTAAAAAAAACTACGTAAGCAAAGGAGAAAATGTCAATAACGGACAGAGAAAAGTCAATACGAGTCTGAGAGTGCGGACAGGCGTCTTCGTAGCCATCGAGGGCCCGG